TTATATTTAAACTTCAAATTGCATCACATTGCCAGTAAATTCTTTTGATAGTTTATTTTGTAAAGCTCAGTAATAGCTGAAAGTTAAAACTACAGGTTACATTTATTATGTGGTTGTTTTTTTTTTTATAGGCTGTCATTTGTTTTGAAAAATGTGCCACGTGTATCACATGCATTGTTACTGTCAATTCCCGAATAAATACAGTTGAACTTCCTGTTCAGATAAACACAAAGATAAAACAGTAAAATAAGAGAGTATTAATGTTGCTGATTTGCTGCCAGCTGGATCATATAATGCTCAACTTCCTGGTTTGATTAGATAATGTGTGAACTTTGCATTCTCAGGCGTGTTATATTGATGCTGAAAAGACAAAAAAACAATGAAGAGTGAAACCATCTGAGACCAAAATATATCACCTTGAATCGCTTTTAGATTTTCATTCATTTTCAAAATAAACCAGTTTCACTGCGTTGTATGTCAGAGTTAAGACATTTAGATTAATTACATACGTTTTCCTTGTTCAGATGAATTCAGTTTGAATTCTGGTGTGACCATGACTGTTTAGAAAATGAGTCGACTGATTCCACATTTTGTCTTTCAGTCTTCACTCTCAAAAGGTCAGATACTAGCGAGCTAACAACAGTAACACCTGATAGTTGCTGTAAATATTAAGTAACAGCTGATCTCTTTATAAGAAGTTGTTTGTGTGGTGCAACCTGTTTTTAATTTAGTGAGTAAAACTCCATTTAGTGAACACTCCGTTGGATCATATTTATGAAAAGGACTCACCTTGAGGCCCTGATCATGTCAGCTGATACTGTGGTGTACCAGTGTGTATATTATCATACTCAAACAAAATTACAACTTTAAATGAACTCAAAACAATTTCCACACAATAAACCAACAGCAGTGCCTGTTTTTTTATAGTTGGTAATGCAGCTTAAACCACATGTACTGACCACTTTATTAGGTACACCTGTTCAACTGCTTGTTAATGCAAATAGCTAATTAGCCTCATAGCAGCAACTCAGTGTATTTAGGCATGTAGACAATTAATTATACTAACAATAATTCAATTGTAAGTAAATTAATTCAACGTTTTTTGGAAAATCCCCAATTTTCAAAAGGGTTTTCACACTGTTATATCGATGTGCACATCTTATCATGACACATGCTGTTGTTTATTGATGATTCACCACAGGTAACTTGTCTTTTTCTTCCCTTGTATGTACACCAGGCTGATTTGGGGGATCAAGTTAATTTTCATGACATTTTTTTTTTCTTAATTTTGTGTCTTTTATTTTGTCTGATATAAATCATCTTGGTAAAACCTTGAATTGCTGCAGAATGCGAGTCATTTTATAAAGCTCAGTATTAAGTTAAAACTCGTTTACTCTGGTTACATTTATGATTTGTTTTGCTTTTATAGGCTGTCCTTTGTTTTGAGAGATGTGCCACACATGTCCTCATTATTTACTGTCAATTCCCAGATAAATACAGTTGTACTTCCTAGTCAGATAAACACAGAGATAAAACTGTAAAATAGAGAATAGTATTGTTGCTCATTTGTTGCCAACTTCCTGGTTTGATTAGATAACGTGTGAACCTTGCATTCTCAGTATTGTAATATTAGCTTCAGCCACCAGTGTGTGAATGGGCGAATGTGACTGTAGTGTCAAAGCTTTTTAACCCTTGGATGACCCCTGGACATTTTTGTCCACCTCCCCAACTTCCCAAACTCCTCACGGTCAAACGAAAGGTCAGAGGGGGTTGATTTTTGGCAAGGGGGTGTATTTTTGGGTAAGCTCTGGAGGTCCCAACTTTCAACATGCAAGTCCATTTTTTGGGTTTGTTATCAGTTTTAACGACATCCATGATCCTTTGTTTTTAGAGGTGGACAAAAATGTCCACCTTTAATTCTTCGCCCAAAACATGTTTTTTGAAGTACTGTTTCAAATCTTTTCTGTATTTATTTCTCCTTTCTAGGTCTTAGCTAAACTTAAAAGTCACTTTTGCCATGGTTTTCAAGATTTTAACCCTTTCAGGCAAGTTTAAACACATGTGGGTGCTGTTTGTTGGGGTTGCAAAAACACAAAAGGGGGGGTCTGGGTCACAAAAATAATTTTGCAGTGGATCATGTTGGTGCTTATTACAGGGCTACATGGGCCAATGATCCCCACCAAAGGGGGTTTGGATGGCATGATCCTACTACCACCTCCAGCCCCCCTCTCACCCCCCTCCCTTTGACTCCAATATTAAAAAACCCCAAAAACCACACATTTTGATCCCACTGCCATTGCAGCAAAAAAAGACAATATTTCTCTGTTGTCAGGGATTCCTTTGGTGTGAAAGAGGTCAAAAATTGTCATCAAGGGGTTCCAGTTCATATTCCACCAATGGACGCCTTCACTCACTGCACCTGCAGCACTTCAAAGGTTTTCCCCCATTAACAGTGCTGGGGTAATCAAAACAAAGCTCCATTTTGTTTACAAAAATGGAGTGTAGAGTTGAGGTAGGTGAGCATAGAGCTCATTTTTTACCAAGACAGTCAGAGGAAAAGCCAAAGAGAAATGGCAGGAGTATGATTATGTCATCCAAATATGTGCAAAATCTAAATCTGTTCACAGCTGAACAAGCTGTCAACACCGAAAACAAACACCAACAAACAAAGTTGCAGAGTGTCGCCACAGGATGGCGCCATCTTGACTGTCACACAGAGACACATACAGTACAGTAAATGCTACATTCTTTTATTGTTGAATAAATAACAGTAACACAGAAATATCTCCAGGTTACATTATGACATTAGTTGAATGCAACAATGAAAAACATGAACGTTCATCATGTGTTTTCTTTTTATAGGCTCCTTTTGTTTTGAAAAATGTGCCATGTGTGACCACGTTATTTACTGTCAACTCTCAAATGAATACAGTTGTTCTTCCTGGTCAGATAAACACAGACATATAACAGTAAAAACAGAGATAGTGATGTTGCTGACACGCTGCCAGGTGGACCATATACAGCGGCTGGCAAAATGTCTTTACTGTGAGTAGTTAAGTAGCAGATGAACTGCTCTGAAAGTTAAAGATGTTCAATATTTTAAGATGACTTTTTAATTTCAATCTTTTACCGTTCCAAAATAACAACAAAGTAAAAGAGCCTGAAGCAAAAGTTTGTCCACCCTGCATGGTCAGTACTCAGTATCACAGCTTCTAAACACTTTTTGTATCCAGCTCAGAGTCTTTAACTTCTTGTTTGGAGGATTTTCACCCATTCATTCTGCAAAAGGCTTCTACATGTAGCTCTGTTAGATTATTGGGCCGTCTTCATGCAGTGCTCTTTGAGCTCTATCACAGATTGTGAGGGCTGTGGCAAAACCTTCAGCTTGTGCCTTTTGAGGTGGTTCATTGTGGATTTGAAAGTGTGTTACGGATCATTGTCCTGTTGTAGAAGCCATCCTCTCTTCATCTTTAGCTTTTTTACAGATGCTGTGATGTTTGCTTCCAGAATTTGCTGGAAAAGCCCAAAGCATCATCCATCCACCTCCGTGTTTAACAGCTGGACAGGTGTCCTCTTTATGAAAATCTGCACCCTTTTTTCTCCAAACATAGCTCAAAGTTCTATTCTAACTTCATCAAACCAAAGGACTTGTTTCCAAAATGCATTTTGTTTTCATTTTCAGTTTTATTTTATTTACACAGGACAGGAATTAAAAATAACATTGTGTGTTACAGTTAGAACTGGCCTGACACTATGCAATAAAAACACATCACAATACAAAATAAAAACAGAAACAATTATCAGAGGCAAAACAGCAAAACATAAGCAGCTACATAGACAATGCAGAGTAGGGAACATTAGAGTTAGGTTAATTATGTTGATGTTGAAAAGGCAAACAAACAATGAGTGAATCCACATGAGACAGAGGAGGAGAGAAAAGGTCTATAATAGTTTGAAATATAACTGAAGTGCTGAACATGTTTGTTCTCTGTACACACTGATGACGACTGACATGGATGAATATAACTATATGAAAAATGATTGATCGCAATGTATCAGCTGAATTAGCAACATGTCCCCTTTATGGTCTGATGGTGCGCTTTTTTACACAATGCCACATTTTTTACAAATGAGAATTTAAATACGCATGAAATGTAGAATAGACAAACGTTAACCTGTTAGTCAGTATTCATAACATTTGGCCAGTCAGATTACAGTTATCTGTTTGAGGCGGCGCTGAAGGACCGTCTATGTGAGCCGCTCTCCTTCTGCTCTCTCTGCCCGGTTAGTGTCAGCTAACACAGCAGCAGCGGCAAACATTCAACACCGAGCCATTAAAAAGACCGAAAAACTCACACTGACACAAAAACAGCTTGACTCTGTTGTTAAACCTGTGTGGTAACATTAGCCGTTAGCTAACAGTTAGCCCTGTCACTGTGACTCTGTCCCAGGTGTGGAGCTCACACTCCTGCAGCAGTAGTCTCATGCAGCTCTACAATGAAATGAGATGTTACCATAGCTGCAGGAACACATTCTGTTGGGGTGGGTGATACCAACACATTCTCATCTCTAGTCGTCACATATCACTGCTTTGTCAGTGGATGTTCACGTCTACATGTCACATGCCAGATATCCTCCTGCATCTGCTGCTGACGCTCCGGTACAACCCTACCAACGCCAGGATGTCACCAAAAGCACATGTTTAAGTTTAGAAAAAAACATCATGGTTTGGTTCTGCATTCATACAGGAAGGAAACACTGATCTCCCAGATTACAGCCCGGGGTTTGTTGGATCCATCCACCACCACTCCTATCTGCCTTATAGGGACTTTTCAGCTCCTTGTATTACGTTGTTACTGGCAGCATTTCAAGCTGATGCTGTCCAGTGACATATCATACCGCCACTATAGCTGCCGTCTGACCGACCAGCATCATACCATAGCACCATGAAAGGTTGTGTTTGGCTGCGTTACAAACTGACGCCACTGGGCAGCGTATTATAGTGCTGTGAAAGGTGGCTTGACACCAAATCACTGACAAAGCCGCAGTATTCAACCACTACTGAATAAGACCAGGCTGACGATAATTCAGGGCCAGAATCACCAATATCGATACCAATACAATACTTTTTATTTTTAAAACTGGCTTTTTATTTTATTTAGGGGAAGGCAGTGTGTCATGATCCCTCAGTGGCTTTGACTGCAAACAACTAGCATACTTGGAGACGAAGATCGATAATTTGGAGAATTGTAGCAGGAGGAGGAGTTTGCGTGTGTTTTAGTATCACGAAAAGGTGCAGAGTGTACTTGACTACTGCTGGATTTTGTTCATGACATGTTGCCAAAGTGGTTGGAGCTCAGCCTGGATCAGTCTCCGGCACCACTGAAACCAAACCAACACAGAGAGGTTCTTTTTCTCTTCTGTAAATTTCAAAATAGAGAGACTGTCAAGGATTTTTCAGTGGAAACGATGAGGCAGCACCGAGAGTTCAACACAGCCAGAGAGCTGTTCACCGAGATGGGAATATAATGGGAATTCAAACAACCCTTGAAACGCAAGATTGGTCTACAACAGCAACAGGAAGGTGCTCCTTTTTTCCACACTACAGGTGGTGGAGGAATGTCATCATGAAACACAGACTACAGGATGAACACTGTATTAAACACACATCAATGCTTGAACACCAGTAACAAGGATGAACTAACACTACAGATGAGGCAGACACTGCTGTAGTGTTAGCATCTGATGGGAGTGAGACCACCATGTGCCCTGCACCTTCACCGTCAGGTGAGGGAAAGCCTGGTGTGCCAACAACAGCTCAGCAGGGGTTGTGACACTTTATAGTTTGTAAAGTCACAAAGCTCTAACAGTTACTTAATACAGTTTGTGCCCAGTGATCTTAAGTCGTCTGGTAAATTTTGTCGTGCGTTTGAAATAATGAGTATCCTAACTATGAAATATGTTAACATTTTCCTCCTGTGCTGCAGGAAAGGGTTCAGCTCAGGGTAAGCTTCAGGGGTGCTGAGCAGAAGTTCACAGAAAATGAATGGACTAATTATTAAGTTGTGCAGGATTTACAGGAGTTGGCTAAATCAGAGTTAATTGCTACAATCCCGGAGTGGCTGATGCTCATCAGCTGAACATCTGCAATGTAATGTAATGTCACTGTTAGAATTTTTAAACCTCCTCAGACCTAATCCAGTCTGGAGCCGTACACCTCCACCTCACACAGGCTCAAGAACTCGGCTCTTCCAGGAATGACGATGTTAACGTAGCGACCGTCCATCCCGTTGCACTGGAAGCCTTCAGTGAAAGCTGGAGGGATTCTTGAGATCACAGCACACCTAGCAGAAAGAGAGAAAAAACTTTGTAAACTCGTTGAGTGATCAGTTAAATAAGTACTCATTTTGAGTTTTAAAGGTAGTATTTTAGTGAATAAGTTACTGCTCAGTTATAATAGGCATTAACAACCCAATGATAGATATCCATTAATCACAAACTTTTAGTCGTTGTAGTATTTTAATGAATTCACATTAAACTACCTGGGATTGCTGTTGCCGTTGTCTGCAAGAGAATCTCCAACTCTGATCTCAGCTCCAACAAGTTGTAAGTTAGAATCTCTGTAGTTGGTGATGTTAACAGAAAACACTTTGTGGGTTTTGCCCAGGTCAACTCGCCACCAGGGGTTGAAGTCTTGGTTCGTGTAAGTACAAGAACCCTGGCTCCAATAGGTGGCACGATTCCCATCTATGGCATTATACGCAATCCCATGCGGATACACTGACGACTGTGTGGCTTTTCCGTAGATCGCCAGATTCTCTCCTGCAGACAGAACACATTTACAAACATCAGCACTGATATTTAGTTTTGTTTGATGCTCTCTGCAGAACAAAGAGGTCCCAATCTGTGAATGTGTTGAGACTGAATTTCACAACTGTTTTCTTAAGAAGAAACTGAAGTAAAAGAATGAGAGGTCATGGAAAGTTGTCAAGATGCCTGTTGTTTATTTTGATCAGCACTGAAAAACGTGAAGGATGCACCAGCAGCTAGCAGTAGGAAATGCGTGAACTTTGTTTTATGTAAGTCTCCATAGTATGGAAGACAAATGTGAAAATTTTAACTTTTCATTCATTTTTTTCAAAACAAAGTAACAACGTGCATGTTTTTTTGCCTGTTTTCTTCACTCAAATAAATGCAGTGCAAACTCTGGTCTGGTGCATCACATAGAAAATCACATCTTGTGTGGCTTCACCCACACATCTAGCTCTCACCAGTTGGGGCGCGGTATCCGTAGACTTCCACTTCACAGAGTGTAAGGACCCTTCTTAAACCAGGTAGAACCACAGTCACATAACGTCCCTCCACAAGTCTGGTAAAGGTCATTTTTAAAGACCTGCCTGCTGGGATATGAGGAATTACACCAGCCCTGAAAGACAGTGAGAGAGCAGTACATGAATATGTTTATAACTGCAGTAGGCTCATTAAAAGGTATATAGCAGTAAGAATTAATAAAATAATACCAACACTTAACCTCAAAATGAACAATGACAGCAATATAGTCCATGATGAGCAGCGCTAAAATCAACCTGCGTAGTTGTCCCTCCATTGTGACATTAGAAAGTGTCACATTTATCTTGCAAGTGTACTCTTCTTCAACGTTTGCTTTACTTCCTGGATTTTTCCCACATGGAAATTCTGACCAATCAAGAGCTGCTTTCTCACACAAGGCATTTGATCTGGTCCGCTTGTAAATGCTGCCGTGAGAACACGAACCAACTCTAGGCAATTATACAACTTAGTGACAAAAGAAGTCCCTGATTCAGACCAAAGGAGACGACTCTAGGTCTGAAAGCAGCCTGAATGGCTAAAGTTTCCTGAGGCAAACCACGTGTTTAAGAAGTCATTATGTCCACTCACACTGGGTTTGCAGCACCGTTGTCTTGTAGAGAGTTCCCGATGTGAATCTCTGCCCCGTCGAGCCTCTCTGCACAGCAGTCTCCTCTGTTGGTGACAACAATGGAGGTGACGATGTAGGACTCCAGCAGGTCCACTCTCCACCAGGGGCTGGCCTGTTCCTTGGTGTGGGTGCATGATCCAGCCCCGAAGTCAGATTCACGGTTTCCATCAATAGCATTGTAGGCAGCTCCATGTAAGGTAACCCGGTCTGACTGGGTCGCTTTTCCACGCAAGGCCACATTTTCTGTGAATGAGAAAGTTGAAATACACAAAAAATGCCATATTACCATATATTGTTATGTATTAAATATTTGTTCCATTACACCATTATTCAAATTTGTTCATCGTTTCCTACGGTCATATCTAGCTTGAACTACGCTACACTGCCTCCACAATCTCTGGTGATAATACTGTGCTTCAACTGTACCCCTAAGCTTTCAGAAAATGTTCACAAATACAGACAAAATGAACGCAGAGTAGGGACCAAAGGCTCTGTCTGTCTCCTTCTCCATATCTCACATTAAGCTTTAATGAACCCTTACATTTATTTTAAGGTGGCGCCCTCTAGTGGCCATAGTAATTATTACAGGAGCAGAGAAGGAAGTGACGTGGTGTAGCATAAAAGCGACTAAGTCTGTATAATGTCGTACAAATATTGACAAAGCCTCTACAAGTGGGCGGAAGGGCTGGTGAATGGGTCAAACAAACAGTGGACTTTAACCCAGGAGACAGGCAGCCTGGTATGCTAGTATGTGTACTATGCTATGCTAGCACATATGTAGCATGTCTTATGCAACACATGTGACTTCACATTAGTCATGTTACGTTACTGACAAAAATACATATTTAATGCTAGACCATGTGGTGTTTCCTAACTAAACCAGGTAGTTTTGAAGAAGAACTGTGACTGTCTTATTACTTTAAGGACATGTTTAAATTGAGACAGTTACCATTAATTCGCAAAACTCTACTTAAAAACCTAGTTCCAATTAAACACCCAGTCTCTTTTACCAGCCGGGTGTAGCTATACATTTTGACAAATAAATGCCTATCTCAATTAGAGGCCTGGTCTGGTTGCCAAGCAGTTCATTTTTACAGAAGTTCTTTGGATGAATAAAACCAGATTGTTGACCTCCCATTTAAGACAACATTAGTTAGCTGTTCAGATGGCATATACAAATAAAAATGTTTAAACTTTTGTTAATATGAAGATGCTACACATTGTTACCGTGGATCAGTTCATTTTTCTGAAACCATGCGCACCAGAGAAAACCGCAAGTCATTCAGATTTACGGGCATGAAGAAAAAACAAGTGGTGACTCCTCTGAAGCTGTCATACAGTCAGAATATGTGTCCATTCCTCAGTTACCCCGTAAGTTACTCATATTCCTTTAGTCCATAAGGTTCCACTGATCAAAAAAATCAAAAGGGTTTTTCATAAAAAATGATGTCACAAAATCACCTCAAACATGCACGTCTTACAAGCTGAGATTTTTTTCTTCTTAGGCAGATGAATGTGAAAACAGCCCTCGGTGTCAAACACTGCACATACATCACACTGCACAGTGAAGCTCAAACATCCAAGTGAGATACAATAAGCAGGACATATTTTGAAGTGGAAGGGGACTTTAATATTTTATAGATATCACAGATAGAGCCAGGTCATACTCACGATAGGTGTGAGCCGAGCACGTCCCCAGAAGGAGCAGCAAAAACAGAACTGAGCTGTGTTTCATTGTTCTGGTTGAGACAGACAACAGAGTCAATGACAGAATTACACTGAAGGAATAAACACTGTCATCATTATTACCATATGAAATTTATCCCAGACCTACAACAATCTTTGATCTAGAAGTTAGATATCCAAACTGCGTCAAAATAAATTAACTGTTATAAGAAGAATAACTGGTGGAAAATCATAAACTACCTGTGTGTAGTTTAGCTGTCAGTGCACAGTGAGCAGACAAAATTAAATAACCTCCAAACTGTGCATTTAAAAGCATCATTATTCAACTACAAACACATACCTTGACTTTCAGAATGAATCCAGAAGAAGACGAGGAGCTGCTGTTTCTGTTGTGTTGATGAATATGATTTGATGTGGACCACACAGAGATATTTATGTGCACATCTTATCATGACAAATGCTGTTGTTTATTGATGATTTACAGACTGAAGACTTGCCTTTGATCTTGAAAGATGAAAGAAGGCTCATTTTGAGTATCAAGAAGATCAGGGATTAGCAACTTTTTATGTATTCCTATTTATTTAATTTAATCTGGCGCTACTTTTGTAAGATTCCAAAAATACATACATACGTATACGTACTGCAGCTTTATGTGTAACAGGGTAAAATATCCGTCAGTAATGCATTTGTTGATAACTGACCCTTTGCCCCTGGAAGCCGATCATAACGTAGCAACTCAATGTTTAACTAGCGCCTGAAACCTGGCACCTCTTAGCCTTCACAAGTGCATCACTATTAGGTGTGCTAAGTCATCCAGTGGGCCAGATTGGACCCTTTGGCCGGCCGGTTCTGGCCCACTGGGTCGTATGTTTGACACCCCTGATCTAAAAAATCAGCACAGTTTCAAGGTGGACGCCCAAGATTAGAGTCATCAATCCAATATCAGACCAAATATCAGATACTGAAATAAGTTATGACGTTGAGTAATGGCTAGAGAAGTGTTTTTGCAGAATGCTATGATGTTGACCTTTGACCTTTTGGATATTAAATGTCATCACCTCATCATTTTATCCTGTTAGAAATTGTGTGTAATTTAGTCACAATTACCCTATTAATTCTTGAGTTATGGTCAGAATCATGTGTTTTGAGGTCACAGCCTTGAACTTAAACCTTCTACCACAAAATTCTGATCAGCTCATTCTTGAGTCCAAGTGGACATTTGTGCCAAAGTTGACAACACATTCTCACTACGACCTCGTCACATGTTGACATTTAGACATGGACTTTCCATATGATGTGCAAGGTACCCTGGGTGTGATGGTTGTTGATGTTCTGCCTGTTACATGCATTGTCACACTAAGCTAAAATGAATGTGAATAAGCCAGTGTGTTCCCAACTACGGTTCAGCTGTCACTGAGAGAGAGGTAACACGAGGCAGAAAAAGTACATAGAAGTTTATTCCCCCCAAAAAATCAACAACAACAGATCGTACTTCCTGTAGCAAACCTGTAGGTTGCTCCACACATGCTGGTTTCTGCCTCAGAGTCACAGAAAACAAGTTATTTATGACAAATGTTCGGCCTCAAGCTATTTACATTCAGTTAATTCTCTGTTAACCATCTCTAACACTCCTTCCCAGTTTTCCTTCACTGCCTCTTCATCTCCCACAGAAATATTAAGATATTTCAAACCATGTCTTTTAACCTGGGTGAACCAAAACACCAACATCCACCTGCCAAAGCCTCACTTTTTTCCCATCTAACTTTTGGTGGTGAAATATTTCCAAAATCAGTGACTTATTTTTTTCTAATTAACGAAATTTCCTCCTGTTTTTTTTTAATATCACGATCACCACCATCAGCTGATAAAACATACTTTGTGTTGCAATCAGATTAAAACACGCCATCTATACGAGAGTATATTTTATGTAACAGTGGCTCTATTTAAATAGCATGAAGCATTCCTCACATGGGACAACCCTGCTGTATACCTCTACAAGGAGAGAGGGAGAGACAGAGTTTATATGACAAAGACACACAGAGAGACAGAGTGTTCTCACCACAGCGTTTGTATCGGACTGAAACTTAAAGCACCAGCAGAATTCTTCAGAAACTCCAACGACACAACAAGTTTACCGCAGAAGAAAGAACAAAAACAAGAACAAGAAGAAGAGTAAGAAGACAGTAGATGAAGAGTTGTTTAGATGGAGGATCTGTGCAGTGTGAGCGGTCTGGATCCTCTCTGGGTGAGTTTCACATTAAACAGACACTTAATGAATAATAATTATAAATCTAATCCGTCTGATTAAATAAACAGATTTAAATCAGTGAATCACTGAGTCAAATGTTAAATTCACATTCTTGTTTTTCATTTATTTAAAAGAGACACGGTTTGTTTAAAGTGGACCTATTTTCAGGTTCATACTTGTATTTAAGGTTCCTATTAAAACATATTTTACATACTTCAACGTTAAAAAAACAAATTACTGTCATCATACTGTGTGTGCTTTAACACCTGTATTCACCCTCTGACTAAGTCGCCTCTGACGTTTTAGCACCTGTCTCTTTAAGCCCCCCTCCCGAAAAAGCCCAGAAGTCTGGTGCACTGTGACATCATACTGTAGCCAGAATTTTTTTAAAAACTGTTGGAAACAGAGTGTTGAGAATGGGAAACCTGAGGTTTTTGCTCAAAGCGATTACTTCTACATGTGTTTACTTAATTATTTGAAACTGCGGCCCCTTTAAATGACATCCAACATTGTAAGGACTCATCAGTGCTTGATGTTAGACTAGTCCATACCGATTGAGTACAGCATACCATACCATGACTCATACCAAAAATTAGAGGAAAAAAACAACAACATTGGTCCACAGGGGGAGCCACAGCGATCGGTCACATTTTAGCCATTTTTCTGTTGTTATAGCGCCACCCAGTTGCCAATTAGAGTTAAATTTCTCCAGTCACCTTGAGGCGTCCTGTTATACATATCTACCAAGTTTAATAAAAATATGGTGGTTAGGCCTAGATAAGAAATGAGCTCTCTAGCGCCCCCATTTTGTTTGATGGGGTCAATAATGGAGGGGTCCCCTCAGATTATGTGTGGTCATATGCCTACAAAGTTGCGTGGTGATGGGTGAAACCCTTGAGATGTTATACACCTTTATGTGATGAGCCACGCCCTCCGCAATATTCATTGCCTTATAGAAGCTCAGTTTTAGTAAGTTTTCCAACTTTTGCCAAGAGGGAACTTTAGATATTGGTCCCTAGATTATGTTCACCCAGTTTCATGCAGATCGCTCAAACTTCCTAGGAAGAGATCCATTTGAAGTGTTTTTCAAAAAATTCAAAATGGCGGAAAATCTATATAAGCGGAAGTTATGGGTTCTTGAGGCAAATGTGTTCCTCATGAGGAGAGGCATCTCTGTGCAAAGTTTCATGTCTCTACGACATACGGGGCATGAGATATGCCCATTCAAAGTTTGACATTTCAATGGGTTGCTATAGCGCCCCCCTTTGGCCAATTGATGTAATATTGCTTCATTGGCATCCTCCCATGACCCTCTACCACTGTGCCAAATTTCACATGGATCGACCAAGTCAGTGAGGAGAAAAACGTGGAACAGTCACACCTACAGACAGATTTTTCGTCATTATATAGTAAGATAAGATGCGTATATGGGCATGGATGGAGCCTTCTGTTCATACTCTGCGTTTATTTTGTCCATATTTGTGCATGTTTTGTGAAAGCTTACCTGTATGGATGAAACAAAGCAGGAGCACCAGAGATCTTGGAAGCGGTGTAGCCTCAAGATACAACCACAGGAGGCAATGAAGGCATTTTTAGAAATGGCGAAATGGAACAAATCAGGAATATAGTGAAAAGAGTTCACAGATGTATTTAATGGCTGCATGGACCACCGCCATTTACAATGCTGCCACTGTTTAAAGGTACAATTATAAGACCTCCTCCATCATTGCCTCGTTTTTGTTTTATGAAAATTTTCAATCTGCCCTCTAATGCCATCTATTGGCTGTACTTTATGGAAACATAAAGGACACATGGAAGTTTGAGAGCAGTGACGTTCAAATCGTGTGGAAAGAACGGATCTATTTTCATACATAAAGGGAGTTTAAATGAGTCTCAACATTGTATAAGATACAAAATATGGAAAAGCATAACAGGTCCCCTTTAAACCTGTCGACCTGTTTACATGTCATTCATGTGTTTGTCTTTTCAGATTAGTCTAACTCTGATGGTGTTTTCTGGTTTCAGGACTGGAACCTGACCTGGTATACCCCCCGACCAGACCTGACCCAGTGTTTCCAGCACACTGTACTTGTGTGGTTCCCCTGTATTTACCTTTGGACCTGTTCTCCGTTTTACCTGTTGTACCTGCAGCTCCGCCCCCACAGAGGCGTCATCCCGCTGTCCAAACTCTGCTGCAGCAAGATGGTATGAAAACAAACCTGATGCTTAACCAGGTCGGGGTTCAGGACTCGCAGGTCTCTCTGGTCTAGCCCTGCTCTCTCTGGTCTTTGGTCTAACCCTGGTCCTGCTGATCTAACCCTGTTCTCCCTGGTCTAATCCTGCTTTCTCTGGCCTATCTCTGGTCTCTGGTCCAACTCTGCTCTCTAACTCTGTTCTCTGGTTTAATCTTGTTCTCTTTAGTCTAACCTTGTTGTCTCTGGTCAACCCTGGTCCTGCTGATCTAACCCTCATCTCTCAGGTTTAACCCTGTTACCTCTGGTCTAACTGTGGTCCCACTGATCTAATCCTGTTCTCTCAGGTCTAACCCTGGTCCTGTTGATCTTACCCTGGTCTCTCTGGTCTCTTTGGTCAAACTCTGGTCTAACTCTGTTCTCCCTGGTTTAGCTCTGGTTCCTCTGGTCTGTAGTCTAACTCTGGTCTCTCTGGTCTTACTCCAGTCTCTAATCCTGTTTTCTCTGGTTAAACTCTAGTTCCTCTGATCTCTGGTCAAACCCTTGTCTCTCTGGTCTAACCCTGTTCTCTGTGGACTCTGTTGCAGCTCCTGGGTCTCAGTTTGGCTTCCTTCGGTCTTCTGGAGATGTTTTATTTCCTGGTGAAGAAGAATGAGCTTCAGAACCACATGTTGATCCTGATGGGTCCACTGATCCGGAGCCTCACTCTGGTACTGAAGAGATCCACCAATGGTTGCTTGGGATGGTCACCTGGAAACAATCAAATCAAAATAGTTTCTCATCTGCTGCTTACTTTGCTCAGTGAAACTTCTTCGCCTTCTCTCTTGCTCCTTTCTTTGTTCTCCTTCTTCCTCCTTCTTCTCTTCCTCAGGTTCTTGCTGTTGTTATAATCCAAGTAGAGAGGATGAAGGGCAGTCGTTCGTCTGTCCCCCTCTTCCTATTCTGGACTCTTCTGGTTCTTTGTTCGCTCGTTCGTCTGAAGGTTGATGTCGAGCAGATAATTGATCAGGTATCAGTAATTTATTATTTTAACATACTCTCTGTTTCATGTTGAATCAGTGCAGCAGGTTACAGATGTGGTAAGGAATGTCACCTCTCTGGTGTGGAAGGAACTGCAGCTTGTGAAAGGAACCAGATCTAATGTGGTACGTCATTTCTCTGGTGTGGAAGGAAACAGAGCTGGGGTGGAAGGTATGGGCACTGGTGTGGACGTCTCTTCTCTCATGGGGAAGGAACCTGATCTGGTGTGGAACGTCACCTCTGGTGCGGAAGGAACCGGAGCTGGTGTGGAAGGAAACAGAGCTGGAGTGAAAGGAACAGGAGCTGGTATTGAACGTCTCTTCTCTCATGGGGACGGAACCGGAACTGGTGTGTGAGGTACAAGAGCTGGTGAGTGAGGATCTGGATTTGGTGTCGAACATCACCTCTGCGGTGCGGGCAGAACCGGAGCTGGTGTGGAACGTGGGGAAGAAAACAGAGCTGGGGTTTAAGGAATGGGCACTGTTGTGGAACGTCTCTTCTCTCATGGGGAAGGAACCAGATCTGAACGTGGGGAACATCACCTCTTGGGTGCGGAAGGAACCGGAGCTGGTGTGGAACGTCACCTCTCTGGTGCGGAAGGAACCAGAGCTGGTGTGGAATGATACCTCTCATGTGGGGAAGGAACCAGAGTTGGTCTGGAACGTCACCTCTCTGGTGCATAAGGAACTGGAGCTGGTGTGGAACGTCACCTCTCTGGCGCGGAAGGAATTGGAGCCGGTGTGGAACGTCACCTCTCTGGTGCGGAAGGAATCGGAGCTGGTGTGGAATGTTACCTCTCATGTGGGGAAGGAACCAGAGTTGGTCTGGAACGTCACCTCTCTGGTGCAGAAGGAACCGAAGCTGGTGTGGAACGTCACCTCTCTGGTGCAGAAGGACCGGGAGCTGGTGTTTTTACCTTTCTGGTGTGGTTGACACAGAGCTGGGTGGAAGGAATGGAAGCTTGCGTGCGAGGATCCGAATCTGGTGCAGAACATCACCCCTCTGGTGTGGAAGGAACAAGAGCTGGTAGGTTTTCTCCCAAAGACCAGTGAGGGTCAGATAGAACATGAGTTCAACAGGTGGATAAATGAAGAGTCTTGTGTTGGAATGTTGATGGTGACTGTAAGAACGAGGTGGATACCAACAGCCGACATGTGTTTTCTTGGCACGTTATCTGGACTCTGCCCATAGAGACTAGAAGAGGAGCTCAGATATCCAGGACACAACAAGAGGAGAACCACTGCTCCTTTATGTTGAAAGGAGTCAGGTGAGGTGGTTCAACATCTCGTCATGGACAGCCTGTAGAGGAGGACACCCGGGGTAGACCAGAACACACTGAGAGGGATTATGTGTTCCAAGCTGCCCAGGATATATGGTGGTGGCAGTGTTAATTTTTTTAACAAGAACTATATTGAAGATTGTTTGTTAATGACCCTTTTTCCAAGACAAAGACGAGATGTTGACAACCTAAAAATAGATCTTTGATACTAAAAACTATGACAAAATGCATATTTTGTTTTCATTGAAGAGATTGGACTAAAATGTTAGACATGAGTTATCAAACATTCAAAATAAGAGGAGAGGAGAACAGTGATACACGTAAAATGTAATGACTCTTCACTGACTAAAGCTGGACTAAAACTATGAATGTTGAACTAAAATGTGACTAAGACTAATAAGTATTTTCATCTAAAGACTAAGGCTGAATTCAAATGTCCACCCTCTGGACTTGCGGACTGAGCTCTTACAAACTTCAGTTGTACGTAGTGTGGTGTATTTACTGTATGGCGTATTTTACACTTGGATCGGTGTATGTCATAAAGGTTGAAGAAGCGTGCCTACTCCTCTCATCCTGCAGATAACAAAATATAAATCCCATGTTTAACCTTTTTGTGACTAAACAAATATGTAGGCTAATAATACATCTCTATATAACAGGCTATTTCAATACAGAGTCTGATAGGCTGCAATTATAAAGTACATTTTCATTCCCTCTACAGCCTATACTTAAATATATTTTCTGTATCATGATGTGGTTGAATATAGTATTTCTGGCCCACTCAATTCAAGTAACATTTAGTAGGAGAAGTGTGGTTAATTCGAGGCATTTGGATTCAGCCTAAGACTAAATCTAAAAATTTCAACATTTCCACCCTCTTAATCCAGATACATATCTAATGTTGATGTTGGGTGTAAGTGACAGGTCATGTCTGTTTGTTTCTCCTCTTCTATGACTATCTTCTCTCAGTTCTTCTCTTTCAGTTGCAGTATTTCACAGCTCTAAATTTACTCTCCTCTGGATGTGTGAAGTGTGTGTGTGTGTGTGTGTGTGCGTACATGTTTAAATTATTTCTTCGAAAGCAGTTCAAATGTAGCTGCCAATAACATCGGTTACCTGGAAGCGACAGATGATTATTTCTGTACAGACTTCACTGAGCTTGAACAGTCGATACATACCTGCTGAGCTATTTAAGTTTCTGAGGAAAAAATGGGCCTATTGAATGTATGTAGTTCTATGGGGGAAAAATTATGTTTAAAGTAATTAAAGTAAATGACCATTATCAGTGTGAAGTGGAATTAGTTTTATGTTAGTTTAGAAAATGTCATCACATTTTTAAAATATAATCAAAACTTCGGAAAACAAAAGCTGAAATATAGAAACTACATTCTAAGAAACAAAAAGCAGGAAACTAAAGTGTGGTTTTTTTTTTTAATCTGGTCACTAAAACTTTTAAAATCAAAGGAAATTAACATCTAAAATTCATCTTGTCTTATATGATTCAATTTAAATAAGTATTTACTGCTGGAAGTGCCGTCCTTTAATCGAGCCAGGCTGTCTGCAGCAGAATAACTGGTGCTACATGACCAGAGAATAATACACTCTATGTGTGTCATCCGCGTTTGCTCAAGAGGTAGAAAACCTACAACTACCAGAATGCACAGCACCGCTGGCTGGTGACGTAATGCAAGCTTGGGCGTTTAGAACGAAACAAAATGGCGGCCGGCGCCGTTAAGGAATGAACGGTTTCTCAGTTACAGCTAAACGGTAAGCTAAATATGTTTCTGAAAACACATCTGCGAGAATTAGGCAACGCGGTATCAAAATTGTGTGAATATTTGATCAGCGCTGCTTAGTTTTACTGTTTTAACTCGGTTTTTTCAGCCACCGGAAACAGTATGGCGCGCGCTTCCTGTTCACAAATTATGCTGTTTTAGCGAAACTGAGGCGAACAGTCAGTGATGAGGTCACTGGGCGTTACTCTATAAAGTAATGTATAACACAGTACTCGTTACTTTAAAAAAAACTAATGCATTACTTTACTTAATCCTCTGAGACCCACATAGACCCATTTTTGGGGGGAGACAGCACGTAAACAGTATGTGCCATATAGAAGTGGTATACATCATCTGAAAGCTCAGAACCTAAAGATTAATTTGAGATACAGCTCAGTACTGCTGCTGTTTTTCTAGTTATAAAACTGCAATAAACAGTGTTTGTCTTAGGCACCTGTTCAGATTTTAAAAGGTAAGAGTTTATAAGGGCTTAGAGTGTTCTGGTCGAAGTATTTGATGGCACACCCATACTCATTTATGTCTTATAAGCTGTTGCAGGAATTTTTAGGTTTATACCATTTGTTACACAGTTTGGGTGCTAAATTTAAGCATGATTTACCACTTGAGAATTTAAAAAATGGGCAGAATCCTTCCACAATACCACACGAAGACACCAACACCTTGAGGAACACCACAGTAGAATCTGTACCGTTATTGACCGTTATTTTGAAACAAAAACTTGATATTTGGAGATATTTGTAAGAACTGCATTTTCAGTGATTGGATGGCGAGCCATTCTGCTCTGGGTACTGCTTAGAAATCTCCTAATTTTCAGTCTATCCTCGAAAGCCACACATTGCTGAGTGCCTGAGGTCTCTAGTTTGTGGTTGTACAGATTCATGAGGTTGTGATTACCTTAGAGGTCACTATAGGTTGTTTTATACAGTGATGTCTATCTATCTGCAATGAAATGACCACTATGGTGGCTAACACTATCACACATGAATAAAACTGGGCTTATTCAATCTGCAAGAGTCTCAGCTTTCCAGTCAGACCCAATTGATGCAGTTCCAAATCTTTTTAGGAATGCCAGTATGCAGAAATATTCAAATACAATAGGCAAAAATAACACATTTACAGTGCATGCAAAAAAAGTACATAGTTTGTGCCCAAGAGTGCATGGGACTAGCATAAAGTGGGCACGTCTGTAAAGGTGAGATTTGTGGGTACCCACAGAACCCAATTTCATTCTGAAATCAGAGGTCAAGGGACCTCTGTGAAAATGGCCATGCTTGGTTTTCCCTTGCCAAAATTTAACTGGAAAAACTTTGGAGCGTTATTTCAACCCCTTCTTTAGAAGCCAGCATAACATGGTTGGTACCACTGGATTCTTTGGATCTTCTAGTTTAATATGATACTGATTTCACCACTCTAAGCTTTAAAAGTCAGCCCTCTATAGCCTCTGTAACACAGGAATCCATTACATTACTTTTGGGTTACTCCACAACATTGCTTGAGACGAACTGTTATGTAATTGCAAGTTTACAATAATGTAGCATTACATTTTCCATATGTCCACATATCAGCACAAGGATCAGGAGAATTATACAGCACTATAGTGGCTTTAACTGCATTAAGTGAAACTATATAAATGTATAAAGTAGGTTGTCCATTTTAATACTGCATGGTACAGATATTACTTGCCAGAAATAATTGTCCTCTACTCTGGCCTCTGCCCTCTGCTGTTCCAGGGTTTTTCATCAGACGCTGCTCGTTTCGTGGCTTTCTTCATCTGTTTTTCCCTCCAACTCATCGAGCTCGTCCTTAGTTGCTTCTCCGACTGCCGACCACTCTCTTACAAACACACCTACGTCCAGGTACCTCACACACCTACATCCAAGTATCATACACCCCTACATCAAGATGATTATACAATGTCTGATTTATGTACACAGTATACACATGAGCATTTACTAGTAACAAAGGCTGAAGTTACCAGGTAACCCTCATCTACAAATTAAAGCAAAGTTGCTCAATATGACCGATCTCCACACATGTAATAAAAAGTTTGGAGGGTGATGAGAGCCAGGAGTTGAGGCACAACACTTCACATCAAAAACTGGTTACTGACAATACACAAAGTACACTGCAGAAACGGCTCGGGCCATAACAGTGGTCATTATCAAACCTTTTTAAGTGACCTGTGGTTTGTCTTTATCAAACTGTTAAATCAAACTGTTGAATATGAGTGTCAGTCACTAAAGAAGATTAATTTTCTCTCATCAGAATCAGTGTCCAGAAGAAGATGCCTCGTTTCTCTCCAAGTTTTTCTTCTTCTGGTTCAGCAGGTACGAACATCACAGCCCAAACACTCAAATCACCAAAACTCACAAAAAAGCAACAGCGTGCCAAAAACAATGATTATGATCATTATGTGTTTGTGTTACAGTCTGTTTAATATAACATTAGTTTGTAGTTGTCATTTAGACAACTTAGATCACAGCGAAATATTTGAAGGAATAATTCATCCACAAAACTGTTTGTTAATTAGAGATGCCGTGTTGCCTTGAATTCGTGAAGAAAACTTTTTTTTCTGTTGCATTCCTCCACGGAAAATGATGAACACATTGAATTACTGATTGTTTGAGGACCATGTTTAACGACATCAAAACTATATCAAAACATCAGTTTACAAACTCTCACATAACTTGTGGTGAATGACCCAAGTCTCAATTATCCAGTCGTATGCTCAGTACTTCCCAGACACATGCATTTATGCTAAAAAGCTGTAGTATTAGAGTCTGGCTTTAAAGAGTGAGCATCAGTTGCATCAAGTGATTAAAAATGGTCAGGACCTTCTCAGACACAGAATTAAAAACATTTTTTAAAACAGAGGTTGGGACTGGGTCAAGGATATATGCAGAGGATTTTAGTGTTGTTACCACTTTTCGGATCATTTCAGCTTCAACCAGACTGAATTTGTCCAGCAGGGCTTCACATGTGGATGTTTATTCAGCTGTTATGGTAACGTGTAGTTGACAGATTTTAGACCTGATGTTGGCTGTCTTTGAAGTTATCTGTACATTCATCGCATTTAGAAGCAGTGAGATGGTATCTACGGATGTAACAGGGTTTATGAGGTGATCGATGGTGTTAAAATCACTCTGGGGTTGATTATTTTGAATTTGATTAGGTTAGAAAAATAAGATTACTACCACCCCTACAACTACTGATCATAATATTAAAAATGGTGACATCATTACTAATGAAAATTGTGTTTTGTCTTCCTGTCAGTTTGGTGTTTCAGGGTTACCGGCACCCCCTGCAGGCTGCAGACCTGTGGTCTCTGCGGGACCAGGACTCATCGATCCGGATCATGACAGACTTGGAAAAGTTCTGGACTCAGAAGTGCAAACAGCTGCAGTATGAATTTTTCCATTTAATATTTTGATTAATATTAATTAATTTAATCTGAATGTCAACACATGAAACGCAGAGATGAGTGAATTAAACTAAACATAAATGAAGAAACAAAGAAACGTATGTGGTCACAGTGACATCACACTGCTGAGCAGGGTACCAGTGCATCTTTAAAAAGTTTTAAAAATTCATTGAATTCGCTAAACTAAAAATAAGGCATTATTTGGTATTAAAATGTCTTAAGTCAATCTTTCAAAAGTGTTAAAAATGCTAACACATGGAAAGCAGTGGGGTTTTTAGGTGCTGTATTGTAAAATCTGAAAAAAACAAACCAAAAAAAAAATCAGGCAAAATCTATTGTTTAAACATTTTACCTAATGTCTCTCACATCAATGTCATGTAGATCAGGATAGAGGAACCAACAGCACTCACACTGATTTACCACATCCAATCAAATGACAAATGAACAAGCTTTTTTTTAAACTAAACCAAATGGACACTTTAATGATAACATAATATAAAAAAATATAAATTATAAAAATAATTGTTTTCCATGTGTTCCTCTCTAGAAAGTTTTTCCAGCATTTTAAGTGGATTATCTAACTTTTTAACTTGACCATAAAAGTCATGTTTTATGTCATAGTAAACATTTGGGCAAAATTGTCCCTAACCTTAAGTAATTCAATTTAATTTCTAAAGCATCAGAGGCTTTACAGCATACGACATCCCTCTGTCCTTTGGACCCTCACAGCGGATAAGGAAAAACTCCCCAAAAACCCTTTAACGGGGGAAATTCTTTCTCCCTCTTCCAGGACGGACAGACGTGCAATAGATGTCGTACAGAACAGATCAGCATGATAAATTAACAGTAATCCGTATGACACAATGAGACAGAAAGAGAGAGACAGACAGAGACAGAGACAGGACAGACGGTAACGATTATAGCTTACAACATTAATTTAAGTAATAATATTATAATAATAATAGTAATTGTTGTGGCATATGTTGTAAGTATTAATATCTGACAGTATACATATGTGACAATAATCATATGTGTATAATAACAGTAGAAGTATGACTAATGACTAATGATGGCAGCAGCAGGAGGCATCTGGCAGGACCACGGCAGCAGCACAACCACACACGTCACGCTATCCAGGCACCGCTTTGATACGAGTTAACCTGAGAGACAGTGGAGCACAAAGGCTCCGGAGAAGAAGCCAAGTTAGTGACATGTAGTAACAGGACATGAATGTTAGCAAATGAAGTAGAACCAACTTATCAGAATCTGAGAGAGAGAGAGAGAGAGGAGAGAAGATAAGGTGTATATTGTTTTTACCTTAAATTTTGGTTATTGTCTTGTAATTGGTCTTAAATTTAATTTGAGTGTCTTTAAATAAAGTCTTGTGAAGTGTTAAATCCAACCTGCCCTAAGCTGTAGAAACCCTGGATGAGCCTGATTCCTTTACTCTAACTGGTCTGCTGCTAAAACTCAAGACTTCCTGTGTATTTTTTCAAAATAAAAGCCCCCTGACTCACTTAAAGGCTTTTAATGTGAAAGAGTAAGAAGAAGTCAAAGGAAGTGAAGGACTTCAGAAAACATGGACTCCTCTTCCCCGAAACATGATCACATATAAATCGTTAAGTGTGAGGGTGGTTGGTTGTCTCAGCCCTGTGATTACTGACTACCTGTCCAGATGTTACCCGCCTCTACCCGCCAGTGTCAGCTGGGATTGGCTGCAGCCCCTCACAACCCTTATGTGGGCTTCATGCTCTCAGTAGTGTTCCCAGCATGAGCATCGTGCACCAGAAAATGACATAATCTCCCCTTTTGAGTTGAGCATGAAGGCTCTGATAGTTGTTGCATTGCTTGGTCGTGCACCTACAGAGGCCCGTCAGCTTGCTGCTGAGCTTCATGCAGGATAATGATGTATCAGTTTGAGGCACCTGTTGTTTTGATGTTCTGCAGTGAGGAGCCTGCTGGCTCCCTGTCCCGGTCCCGTTCCTGTTCCTGGCGATCATGGTCCAGGTCCTGGCCCGGTGGTTCTGCCACGCCAACAGAAAAAACACAGCTGCTGAAGAAGAACAGGAAGGGGCGTGGCTACAGCTTCTTCCTCCTGCACGCTCTGTGGCGTAGCTTGGGGCTGTACTTCCTGTGTGGGACACTGTGTCTCCTCCTGCATGACGCCTTCATGTTTGCTGTGCCGCAGGTGCTCAGGTGGGTCAGAGAGATCACAAATATGTTATATGTTATGTTATACCAGACTTGATACTGGTGGATGATTTGAATTCCACAAACTGAAGACCCTCTAGCTAGACGTGTCAAGCTACGACTCTTAAACTGTCTGAGCTTGTTAACACTGATGTTGTTGTTTATAGTTCACAGTTTGTTGATTGTATTTATTTGTTGTTGTTGTCAGTTTGCTGCTGGGCTTCATGCGGGATAAAGATGCTGCGACGTGGAAAGGATTCCTGTTCGCCTCGCTGCTCTTCCTGCTGTCCTGCCTGCAGTCTCTCCTCCATCATCAGTACATGTTTCACTGCTTCACCGTTGGAATGAGAGTGAAGACAGCCGTCATGGGACTCGTGTACAGGAAGGTGACAGAGAGACAAAGACAGCTGGTGCCTATGTTACCAGATTGTGTCTTGTTAGGCTGCAGCAGCTGATGTATCCTTTCAGCATTTAGCCTGTAGCAAAGATGAGCAGTGGGCTGCAGAGGTCTGCTGAGGTCAGTTCTTTCTGACTCCACACCTCCAGATTTTTTACTTTTCATCCTCAAATGACGCTGACTCAAGTGACTTCTCATGAGGATATTTATCAGTCGTCACACAGCTCCCTCTGGAGACACTAAACCCATTTTACTTCTTTAAAACGTGCAGTGAAACTCCTCAACACCTGGAAACACACTGATGTGCTCACTGGAGTTCTGCTTAAGCATTTCAGACTCACTGTGCTCATCTAGTCTCTGAGATCAGCAGTAAAGTCAATAAAGTTTTCTGTGTTTGAATCCTCAGTGTCTGCTGATCAGCAGTGCAGCTCGGCGGCAGTGTACTTCAGGAGAAATCATTAATCTGATTTCAGCCGACACTCAGAAGCTGATGGACTTTGTGGTTTATTTCAACAGTATTTGGATCACTCCCATCGAGATCGCACTCTGCTTCTACTTCCTGTGGCAGGTACAAAAAAACACCTTGACATGAAAACATCATGCCTATGTTTCTGTTGTGTTTATTGTGACTTCTGACCAGCGATGACTCACCAGGTTGTGCTGAGGCCACCTCTCCCCAAAGTTACCAACTTCTAACAACACTTATTTTTGGAGACCAGATAATAGTAGGGGATGGGGAGGTGGTGGCGGATCAGCAAACTTTGTGTGTGTGCGTGTGTCCCTGTGTGATCATTCTGTGTCCCCTTTCTGAATTTGGAGGTTCTTTAAGGTCTGCAAACGCATGAGTTTTGTTTTCCTCGGCAGCAGGTGGTTGTGTTTGAGTCGCGTGTGGAGGAACTGATTAGTCCATCAGTTTGTGGTCGGATCAATCAGAGCTAGATGCACAGCTTCCATGAGAGCGCGACCGGTGTCTTCTACAATAGTTTGGAAAAACAATGAACAAAAGTTAAATGACAGTACTGTTATAAGGAACAGAGCATTTTATTTCTATATGAATTAACAAACAGTCTTACATTCACTGTGCCTGGTGTTTACAGTCAGTCCTGTTACATTTATCACCACCACTGCCTCTGCACCACACTGACTTCTGGTGGCGAGTGATGTGCACTAACATAACATCTATAAAAAACATCTTCATTACAGACTCTCCAGTAAGAAGTTAGTAGAAAGATCGTCTTTATTTTTTACGGTATTGAAAAATCATACAGTGTGGATTTCAGAATACCCTGGTGTACCGTGATACCGCCCAATCCTAGTATGTATATTCCAACAGCGCTCCGAATTAAAGTCCAGTTCCAAAAATAGAAAATCAAGGCTGATAATGAGGCAGGCCGCCACAAATAAATGAATATAACCCTGCCAGAGACATGATAAAATCCCATTCAGAGATAGATGGCTTTATAATGAATGTTAGCATGAATGACGTTCTCAAGTAGCAGTCCAGACATTTAAAATGTGATTTTGTCCACTTGTTTAACATTACCGAGTCATTCAAAGCCAAAATCCACATCTCAGGACCAAGTCCCACATTTGGCCGTGGAGTGGGCGTTTCAGCAGGCTGCTTAGTATGAACTGCTGGCTGTCTGCTATGTCTTCTGCCTGTGATACTCACAATGTGGATTTTATTGATCATAATTTAACATTTTGTGGGAATAAGGTCTCTGCCCGAACAAAGATGGAGCTCAGCTCTGTCTGCCAGTTTATCATATGAAATACCACATTCAAGTGCTCCTCACAGGAAACAACCATGCCGTCACACAACCTCTTTGTAGCCAGTCTGTCCTGATTGATTGATAAACAGCTTCTGTGATTGATTAACAGCTCCTCGGCCCATCTGCTCTGGCTGGCATCACTGCTGTTGTTCTGATCTTTCCTCTGAATGGATTCATCGCTAAAATAAGAAGCAAGCTACAGGTGAGAGAACTGTGTCATTGTCTTTAATCAGATGCTCCACCTACAGGTGGATCAATTGTGTTCCACAATCTGCTGCCTGTGTTTCTCAGGAGGCTCAGATGAAGTTCATGGATGACCGGATCAAGCTGATGAATGAAATCTTGAGTGGTGTGAAGATCCTGAAGTTTTACGCCTGGGAAGAAGCTTTCCTGCGACGTGTTGGCGCCCTAAGAGATGGAGAACTCCAGGCCCTGAAGAAATCTCAGATCCTCTACTCCGTCTCTCTGGCTTCCTTCAACTCCTCCTCGTTTCTGGTGAGTCTCATGTCTGGCTGGTCAGTTTAACCTTGGTCTGACTCAGACTAGTGAAAAAGGCGGGGCTTGAACCCCTCTTAGTCATGTTTTATGTGAACATCGTTCTCTGTTATCTTATGTTCATTTATTCAGAGACGTTTCACTTTCAGCCAGGCTCTCATCACATTGACACACTTCACACATTCACACCTGGAAGCTGCCCAGTATAACCAGTGCATCCTGCTGGTCTCTGTGCAGCTCCACTGGAGCACCTCATGAGAGTTTGACAGACCAATAAGATGCTTCAGGTTCAGCTATTGATCACTTCAGTTCATCTGAACCATCACACACAAGTCATAGGAGTGCATGGAAAAAAAATAATTTTTAAATGAATTAAAAAAAAAATGTGGAGGAGTAAATAAAAGAATAAATAAGTAGTAGAACATGTTGTAATATAAAGAGAGTTAAACAAAAGAGTAAATTAATGTGGTAATAAAAAGACAAAATAAAAGAATAATTTTCATTTATTGTCACATTTATTTGGTGATTTATGTATGTATATATTTATGTATATATTTGTTAAAAATACAGTAATATTTTGGTATATATGTATATATATGACGTAATTTTTTCTGTTTTTATTTATTTATTTTTATCCCTCTATTTTTGTTTATTCTTTTTCCTATTCCTTTTCCCTTTTGCCTTCTCTGTATATTCTGTATTATTTCTCTCTATATTTCCACATTTTAATTAATTCATTTATTTATTTTTTATTTATTTCTCTCTCTTGTATGTACTGTATGTGTGTGTATATATATATAATATATATATACATACATACAGTATATATCCACATTTATTCATTTATTTATTTATTTACTCATTTAATATGTTATTTATTCCTCTTTGTATTTCTACATTTATTTTTCTTGTTCTTTTACAGATATTTTTCTTTTTTATGACACTCCTATGACTCCACAGTAATTAGACATCCTCTAATAAATGATAAGGCTTCATTCTGTCTCTGTATAATGTGTGAATAAATATTGACACATAAAAATGTATTTCAGGTTCACGACAACAAAATGGCAATTTCTGATATTACAGAGTAAAGTGTTGCCATGGTTACCAACAGCTGGTAACCAGATATTCGTTTGAGGTTTCCTATTATTTGGAACTGGTTTCACATGTTTTTATCAACATGTTTTTTGTCGGTCCAAATTTAAACTGCCGTGAATCATTGTTAGAAACATAAACTGTCACAGTTGATTGATTCATTCTGTCTTTTCTCTCTGATGAACTCATCAAAAATTGTCTGTGTGACATTTGATATTATAATTTTTTTAAATAGTTTTTGTCCTCTTGTCCTCTCTGATCAGATCGCCCTCTCAGTGTTTGCCGTGTACGTGCTGATTGACGAGCGAAACGTTCTGGATGCTCAGAAAATCTTTGTCTCTGTTGCTCTCATCAACATCCTGAAAACTCCTCTGAGTCAGCTTCCCTTCGCCATGAGCACCACCATGCAGGCAAGTCACAGCCAATCAGAAACCTCTGTTCTCTGGGTGTCTCTGTCAATGGAGTCAAGGTTTTTAAAGATTTATTCCAACAATACCTCCACAGTGAGTGAGTTTCTAATATGTCTAAAAATAACAGTGTTACACTTCAGTGTTTGTTCCATCGTCTCAGTGTGCTTTTGAATCCTATAAGATAGTACTTAAATATTTTAGCTTACTTAATATTTTTTGATCATTTATAGAAACTAGTCCATACCCGGGGATGTGTTATGTATAGAGGAATAAGAAATCAAAAACAGTATATTAGAGGAGATGCAAAATCAGAGCACTGTAAATGCACTGTGTAATAAATATTAATGTAAGACAAACAATGCACACTGTATTTAGAAACATGCTTTATGGCAAAATACATGGAGCATGGTTTTGGCTGACGGCACGGAGGCACGTGTGGGCACACAGGTACACACATACACACGCAACACGGAAAAAGAATGAAACAAACAGTGCAAAGTGCACAGCGCAATGTTTAGTCTGTAATGTTTGTAGGCTAATGTCAGTAAAGTGAAAATACGTAACGGCTGGCTCGCGCACACAGACATAGACGCACGTTCGTTCAGTAAAATAATTACCTTAGTCTTCAGCAAGTGTTGGTGCTTGAAATTGCATGTCCCAGCCAAACTGTGGTCCCAGCGCACATGCACAGCTTGCGCTACTAATGGTGCTCACAGTATGAATGGGTAGTGGAAAAAAACGTGAATATAAACAGTAGGAATGTGGGAAAAATGCAAAAACGGCATTGTGGCTGTCTGCACATGACCAGGATGAAAGCCTTTGTGCAGGTTCAGAGAAATAAGTCAAAGCAGCGAGGAGGAAAACGAATGATAACAGACGGACGGAGGGACAGAGGTTTCTCCATTTAATAGTAGAATATTAGGGAGAATATTATGATTGTGCTAATTAGTGAATGACATTGTTTCGGTTTTTCACATATTTGACTGGTTGCCTGTGTGAGGTTGTTACTTTTCTGTTTGGTAAAATGTCAGGTGACTGATTTGTGTTTCATGTGACTTTTTAAAAAATGTGATCAGGCCATCATCTCACTGAGACGTCTGGGAAACTTCCTGTGCCAAGATGAACTGAAGCCTGGTAATGTGGAGAGACTTCCCTACAGCACAGGTATGACATCACACACACACACACACACACACACACACCTGATCAGCTTCACCTTTGTGTCCAGCACTGAAACTGAAGCCTATCTTCAGACTAATGGGGACTATGAAACAAGTCTCGAAGGTTTAATGACAAGTTTTAATGTCTTTGAGAACCTGAAAGAATTCAAATGAAGGTTAGTCGTTAATTTCCCCTCTCAGCATCAGTAATGGTTTATCTTATCTTATGAGGACTTTATGCTTTATTTGTGCTTGTTTTATTGTTCGCCCCTTACAGTTTATTTTATTTATCAATCTATAAAAAAGCCGTTCTAATGATCTACACAGGACAGTAATACCACAGCAGACTGGTGGAGCCATGTAGGAATATGTGATTTACCATGTGAAATACATAGAACCATGTGGAAAAGAGTGGAACCATGTTGTGTGCTCAGACGGACACGGTGTGGTGATCGAGGGAGGATCCTTCTCCTGGACCGATGACGGGCCGCCATGTCTGCAGAGGATCAACATGAAGGTGAAGACGGGCTCCCTGGTGGCTGTGGTCGGCCATGTTGGCTCAGGGAAGTCATCTCTGCTGTCGGCCATGTTGGGAGAGATGGAGAGGAGGAGCGGCTTCGTCTCCATCAAGGTGACTATAGCAAGTAATCCTAAACTTAAAGACATTGAAGGGCTGCAAAGACAGGCTACTTACTAACTGAAGTGCTCGCCTGACATGACCGACTGCTATTCATCAGGTGAACAAAGAGCCCCACTTCTTGTTGTCTTTGATGCATAATTTATTTCTCATTTTTAATTAATACTCTTTGAATTATTAATTTTTAAACTGTGAAGCTTTACTTTTATAAAACTATCTCAGAAACTCCATGGGTTTTTTGTAATGTGTGTGATGTTGTGCAAAGGGGTGGAGCCAGGGAGAGAAACATTAATAAGCATGTATATGTCCACACAACAAAAAAGCCTTTAATGAAGAATTTCACTGATGGAAAAAAAGGCTTTATTACATAAGTAGGCTGTGTATGAAGTGGAAGAGGCAAAAACCTCTGAAATTGTTGCTATATGACCAGAGAAAGCACAGAGAAAGGGCTGTAGGTAGAAATCCTACAACTACCACAATGCACTGCGCCGCAGCAGACCAATAAATGCTCTCGCTGGTGGGTGACGTAATGCGAGCTTGGCTGTGTAGACACAGGGAACGATATGCTTTGTAATTCAGAAGCAGCTGGAACATATTGTTGACAGTCAAACAAAATCTCCTCGTTAAAAGTGATGAAAGTTTCTGCTGTTTTATGAAGATTTATCTGCTGAATCTGTATGTTTTATAGTGGAATCCTCTCTCAGGGGCAGTAAAAGTTATTTTGACTGTGGTGTTGCAGGGTTAGGTGGCCTACGTCCCCCAGCAGGCCTGGATCCAGAACGCCTCTCTGAAGGACAACATTCTGTTTGGTGGAGAGAGGAAGGAGAGCTGGTACCATCGTGTGCTGGAGGCCTGCGCCTTGCTGCCGGACCTGGACATCCTGCCTGCTGGAGACAGCACAGAGATCGGGGAGAAGGTACAGACACTGCCAACACACTGTTGCGCTGACTGTTAATTGTCTCCTGTTTGAATGTGTAGTGTTTACTTTTTGTTTACTGGTGATGCATTTACTGACTGCAGGGTCTGAACCTGTCTGGAGGTCAGAGGCAGAGGGTGAGTCTGGCTCGAGCAGTGTACAGGAAGTCAGATGTCTACCTGCTGGACGACCCGCTGTCGGCCGTTGATGCTCACGTGGGACAACACATCTTTGATCGAGTCATTGGACCCAGAGGACTCCTCAAAGACAAGGTGAGACCCTGCAGGTTCTCTACAGACCTGTACCTGTATCTACAGTCTGACCAAACACTCTCCATGATCTCAACCTCCTCCGGTGGGTTGCCATGGACATAGTTGGTCCTTTGGTAAAGAGCAGCTGGGTGCACAAGTACATCTTGGTTGTGTGACTATGAGTCCGGCTCTCTAGTGGCCTATCCACTACACAGCTGCACCGCTCCAGCTGTTCTGCATGCCTTAAACCAGCTTTTCTCCAGAGTAGAGATTCCTGACAAGATCCTCACTCGTCAGGGACTCTCTTTTACCTCCGGGCTGATGGAGCTTTTACACAAGCAGCGAGGTATCACTGTAATCCAGACAACTCCATGCCATCCACAGACTGATAAACCTTACTGTAAACTGCTTTGGATAAAGGAGTTAAATAAGTGTAATGTGTGTGCTGATGTGTTTTTTAGACCCGGGTGCTGGTAACTCACGGCCTCAACTTCCTGTCTAAAGCAGACCTGATCCTGGTAATGGAGGAGGGTCAGATCTCAGAGATGGGCTCCTACATGGAGCTGATGGACAGGAAAGGAACCTTCGCCAAATTCATCCACAGATTCAATGGAAACCAGCGCAGAGAGAGCCCCACCCCCAGAGACAGGAGTAAGACTTTGGGCTTCATTCACCAACATATTTTTTTCATAAATTTGTCCTTAAGAAAAGTCCAAAGAAAAGTTTACATCAGATTCATGGCAGAATTGTTCACACCTGTGTTGTTATTATGATGAATCCCATTGTCCTTGTAAACTGAAGGTGATGTAAGTTGATCCTAATTAGCATAGGTAAACGCCCCTCAAATCATGGACATGAGAATACAGAATTCATGTTTGTAGTCGACCAATGAAGATGAGTTTACATATCACCTTGGGTTCGTCCTTCACCTTCTCAAAATGATCCCACACTTTGGATTTCCTGCCCAACATGTTATTAACTAGCCTGTGGAATAACCGCAGGTACCAGCCCTGGTAATTAGAGGCCGTACACATGCTGCATCTTTAACTGCCTGGAAAATGCGAGGTCGGGCGCTGAGTGCTGCTCTTGTAACTTTTTTGTGCCAGCTTTCATGAGCGCAGTGGCAGGCTGCGTCTGAGGTTGCTAAGCAACCTTAACAAGTACCAGTTCAGGACTATTTACCTGAAATCCTGAGTGCAGAGCTGATCTCTTTAAATTTGACACAAACGTCCACTTGGACTGAAGAATAAACTGATCAGAATTTTGTGGTAAAAAGGTCAAGTGTCACTGTGACCTCACAAAATATGTTTTGTATTTCACACAAATATCTAACAGGATAAAATTATGAGGTGATGACATTTTATATCTAAAAGGTCAAAGGTCAGCTTCACTGTGACATCATTATGTTCTGCATAAAATACCTTTCTGCCCAATATTTAACGTCATATCTCGGGAACAGAAGTTGGGACATTTGGTCAGATACTGAACTAGTAGTCTGAGTGAGCGGAAGTTCGCTGCATAGATCAGCCTCTCATTGGGCGGAACGAGCCACCCGCCGAAGTCCCGCCCTACCACCTCCGGTTGTGTAGCAGTTTTCAACCGTTTTCAACACGTCCTTTACTAACTTTTGCAGTGTTTGATCTTGCGGGGATGTAGCCATTTTTCTGCCATGGTTCGCGTCCTGTAGGCGATATTTTTGTGGGCGTGTTACACCAAAACCTGTTTCCCCCCAGCAATATTTTTGTAAGCGCACCGTTGCTGTGGCACCACCCCGAACGATTGTGATTGGTTGAAAGAAATACAAGCAGCCGGGACGTTTTTTTCTCCAATCTTAAAGTGAGAGTGGGCCCAGCCAGACCTTTCTTTTCTTGAGAAAGGTCTGGTGAGCGAAAATACTGAACTGGTGACACTGATCTTGAACCTGTGGATGTAGCAGAACGCAAACTGCAGTGTAATTTACAGTAATGTTGTGTTATGTTTGGTTTTGAACCTAAATTTCATTTGTGTGTATATTTCTGTGTGTGTGTGTGTGTGTGTGTGTGTGTGTGTGTGTGCGCATGATTGTGTATATTTGTATACACAATATTTATAGGCAGCAGGAAGTCAGTGTCTCGCCTCAGTATGACGGATTTCTCCATCGATCTTTCTCAGGAGCAGCTGATCAGGTATAAAGACTGTGAACACAGTATAAACACAAACACACCTTTAAATATTTTTAGTAACAATGATAATACAGTCCTATGTGTCATAAATAATACACACATTAATTACAGTGGAAAAACAAAAACTTTTATGGTTATCGATAAGATGGGAAAGTTTGACATGTCTCTGAGCTTTTTACTGAAAAACTTGACCATCTGAAAGTTAAGCTTTAAAACTCTAAAAAGTCGTTCCTGTTCTGCTTGAAGCTTCCCTGATGTCATATTTTCTCATGAACTGACACACGCTGCAGTTACACTGTTGATTTATCCACTGCTGATTTGTTTGTGTTCCAGCTGTGATATGAGCAGTGCCAGTGTTCAGATGATGAAGGCTGTTGATCAGGACTTAGATGCTGAGGATGCTGGGAAGCTTACAGAGGTTGACAAGGCTCACACAGGGAGGGTGGGTCCTTCTTCTCATCAATATTAGTATGTTTGTGTCAGTATTATTAACCACTAGAAAAGTGCACTGAGAACAGAAGGCTGACTGGCCGTGCAGCGGACGGAACAAAACCAGGATGCGGTCATGGCAACCAGAGCACTGTGCAGTTGCAGCTGGTGGAAATGTCCCTCCAGGCTTAAAATGAGACCAAACTTTTCTTTGGATATCAGTTTATAAGCTACAAAAAAGGCTAAATAGTGGCCTGCTAGAGACAGTAAGGCTCGTTTTTTTATTTTATTTTATTTTTTTAACCAAGACAGTTTCAGGAAAATGTGTCATGTGTTTTATTGACTGTGTAAAATTATGTTTAAATTGATGGTTAAATGGACTTGAAAAACTTCAGAACAGCACAACGTCTCCACCGTGACAACAGAGTGTGTGAATAACTAAGGTCTTCTGTTCTCAGGTGAAGCTGCAGATGTACAGAGAGTACTTCAGGACTGTCGGCCTGACCGTCATCATGACCATCATCTTCCTCTGTGCCTTCCAGCAGGCCGCTTCGTTGGCCTACAACTATTGGCTGAGCTTGTGGGCTGACGAACTGCCCGTCAACGGCACGCAAAGCGACCACGAGCTGAAACTGAGTGTGTTCGCAGCTCTGGGTTGCACTCAGGGTGGGTCAGAGGTCATATACATCTCATTAATGAGCAATACACACAGACAGACAGATGGGTAAGGTAAGTGAGTGGGATGACACCATCCCCATCCACAGGGCACGTTGGCTCACTGAATGGTTTAATTGTAATGAACATAGTGTGAATCAAATGCTTTAGCCTTCGTAGTCACCAGATCTCAACGCTCTGTGATAAACTGTCCCATTAAAATCAGCTTGTGGTGTTTAGGGATGGCCATGTTTGGGACAACGCTTGCCATCGCTCTGGGTGGTATCGTAGCATCGCGTCACCTTCACGCTGACCTTCTCCACAGCGTCCTACACTCGCCAATGTCTTTCTTCGAGGTGACGCCCAGCGGAAACCTCCTGAACCGCTTCTCCAAAGAGATCGACGCAATCGACTGCATGATTCCTGACGGGCTGAAAATGATGCTGGGCTACCTGTTCAAGCTGCTGGAGGTCTGCATCATTTTGTTGTTGGCCACGCCCTTCACAGGGCTGGTGCTCCTCCCCCTCACCTGTGTCTACATCTTCATACAGGTAAAAGTTTCTTCTGAACATTGCCTGAATGTCTCTGAGGTTCAGCTGCAGCATCTTGTCTTCATTAATGTCTGTGGTTCATGTCTTCAGAGTTTCTACGTGGCGTCGTCATGTCAGCTGCGACGACTGGAGGCCGTTAGTCGCTCACCGATCTACAGCCACTTCAATGAGACGGTACAGGGTGCGAGCGTCATCCGTGCCTTTGGCGAACAGGGATGCTTCGTCCTACGGGCCAACCGTCGCATTGACACCAACCAGGAAGCTTACTTCCCTCGCTTTGTTGCCACCAGGTTCATTCAAAGGACTTAAATCACACTGGAGTGGAAACATTTTTACATTTTTTTAATTTTTTCTTATGTATTTTTGAATTTGTGCCGACGTTTCTTTAATTATTTCATGGCTTTGTAGATTTTACTTCATTTTAGTTGGTTAGATAGTTCGTTCAGAGCTCAAGGATTTCTTACCCTGGGCAAGATGCCCCAAAATTGGTTACTCTACCCATTTATCTTTCCCAGCAGTGCGTTGGTTTGTGCATCATCAGCCTGTGCATGCTTAAATCATATCCAAATGTTTTTTTAAAATTTTGCAGTAAAGTGACGTATTTCACTGTTGGAAAGATGGTCTTTTCATAAAAGTGCCCGATGCAGTAGACAGATGCAGATACTTTTGAAACTGGTGTTATGTGACCAAGAGAAAGAGAAAGAGAAAAGGGGCTGTGATATTTGCTTTTGCTGAACAGGTAGAAAACCTACAATTACCAGAATGCACTGCATCGAACCAATAAACAATCCAGCTGGTGAGTGATGCAATGTGAGCTTGCCGGTTTTTCCACAGGAAACAATATGGCGGCCAGCTGGTGACAAAAAAATTCAAATTACAGTGTGATGGTAAGACAAAATATGTTTCTGAAAACATTGGAGGCGAGAAATAAGAGAATCTTGGTTCATATTTGATCAGTGCTGCTTACCATTTAATCTCCGTGTTTTCAGCCTCCGTTTTTACAATACAGGAAACAATATGGCGCCCACTTCTTGTACACAAATTCTCATATTACAGCCAAACAGTGCACTAAAATATGTTTGTGAAGACATTTGGGTGAGAAATAGGCAATACAGTAACAGAATCTTGATTTATATTTAATCAGTTCTGCCCACTTTTACTGTTTGATCCAAGTTTGAGAGAGATGAGCCAGGAAATCTGGGCGCTGGTAAAATGGAGGGAAGTTTGTCAATCACTTATACTACCCACATTGTTATGATACAAAGCTGGTTGAAAATTCGGCAAAGTATCCCTTTAAGGGAGCTGTTTCCCCCTACCAAGAATTCACTCTCATGTAACAATAATATTTAATGTTTGCTGATAATCTTATATTTAATTGGTTTTGTCAGATGGCTGGCGGTGAATCTGGAGTTTTTGGGGAATCTGTTGGTGTTGGCTGCAGCCATTCTGTCTGTGCGAGGTCGGGATGAACTCAGCCCAGGCATCGTGGGATTGGCAGTGTCACACTCTCTCCAGGTAAAAAAAAAACTCTTGTAGAGAATGCATTGCCAAAGTAACCCTTACTATATAGAAGGAAATCAAGTTGTCAGAAACTCCTTATGCTTTGAGAAAAGGTTTCTAGTTTCTGCATGACAACTAGACGCTATCCTTCAGCTGGCTTTTTTGGTTACATCATATCTTCCCAATCAGTATATATATCCCTCTGACACCTGTTGGATTTGTATCTATATTTGTGCTACTTAGCATCCTTTTGCATTTTGATAATGGAGGATTTGATCAAATCAGCAAGTTAATTGAATTTGCTGGTCTCTGCAGAGTCAAACAGGAACCTCTCCTCCCACGTCACCTGAGAGACAAACACATTAAAGAAATAAATCTTAAAGTGAACGATGGTGCCGTTTGTGTTTGTGTGTTTCCAGGTGACTGGAATCCTGAGCTGGATTGTTCGATCCTGGACTGATGTGGAGAACAACATTGTGTCGGTGGAGAGAGTCAAAGAGTACGGCAACACACTCAAAGAGGTCTGTGCTGAACGTGGAAACTGTAATTTGTGGCTAAGTGTCCAACATCTCTCGCAGCATGTTTATAGAAGCTGTTTCTATGTTTCTGTTGTTCTCTGTTTTTAGTTTGAATTTTTATGCCTCCACACTGGCGATAGCCGCGGCCGGAGGCATTATGTTTTCAGGTTGTCTGTCCCATTGGTGTGGATGTGATGTCTCAATAACGTTGTAAGGGCATTTCATTAAATTTGGCACAAACTTTTACTTGGACTCAACAATGATCTAATAAAAATTTGGTGGTCAAAGGTCAAGGTCACTTTGAGTTCTCGTCTGTCTCATTCTCATGAACTCGATTTCTTAATAACGCCTTAAAGGAATTTCTTTAAATTGGGCACAGACATCCACTTGCGTGCAAGGATAATCTGATTCAAATATGGTGGTCAAAGGTCACTGTGACCATACTTGAAGCGTTCATATGCTGATTATGACAAAATTTCACAGAAATGTCTGATAAACTGATGATATTTTATATCCAAAAGGACAAGGTCAGCTTCACTGTAACATCATACTGTTTTCTGGCTATTACTAAATTTCATATCTCAGGAACAGAAGAAGAGACATTCGGTCAGATACTGAGTGGGTGACTCTCATCTTGGGAGTCCACCTTGAAACTGTGCTGATTGTATAGATCTTGTATAGATCTAGATGTTTGTGAAGCATCCATGTTCTAGAATTTGTAGCTTCTTTGCTGCAACTTCCATATTTGAAGCACTGTCAACTGTCATGGCAGCATACTAGTCTGGACAGACATGGATGTAAAGTATAACTGCAACTTGACATGGAGGCATACAAACACAAGGTGTCAGTCCTAGTTCTTACTGACATGATGTTGATACTTAACTTTGACCATGGAACTGTGGGTATTGATCATCCAGCCCTCCTGACCTGATGTGTCTTCCCAGGCAGCATGGACCCTTGAGGACAGTTTGCTGCCAGCCTCCTGGCCAACCACTGGAAACATCCAGTTTGAAGACTATGGACTGCAGTACCGTAAAGGTTTGGACTGGGCTTTAAATGACATCTCCATCAACATCCAGGACAAAGAAAAGGTCAGCAATGATCAGAGTCAGAAAAACGTTATTATCCATTACAAGGCAACGGAAATGTTTCAGGAGAACACACAGTCTGGAAGTCCAAAGCAAAATGTAATACTTTTCCTCTTGTCAGTCATAAGGTTTTGACCTGAGTATGACTTAATGATGATATAATGAATCAATTCATCGCCTGAATAGTAATTGAATAAAAAAATTAATTTGCAGGTGGGGATTGTTGGAAGGACGGGAGCTGGGAAGTCGTCTCTGGCTTTGGGGATCTTCCGGATTCTGGAAGCAGCAAAGGGACAAATCCTTATTGATGGGATCAATATTGCTCAGATTGGCCTTCATGATCTCCGCTCCAGAATCACCATCATTCCTCAGGTCAGTACTGCAAATACTGCATTACAGCATCTCATTCTCATTCCCATGTCCCAAAAAAGTCATAGGATGGTATGGCATAAGATAAAACTCATACTGTAGTATGTCATAGAAACAGTATGGTATATAGTATAGTATGACTTTCAAAATGTCATAAAAACGTCACAGTATAGTACGTCGTCCAAAATGTCATTAAAAATTTCATAGTATAGTATGGCCTTCAAAATTTCATGAAAACGTCATAGTATAGTATGGCGCCCAAAATTTCAGAAAAACGTCTTATTATAGTATGGCTTCCAAAAGTGCATAAAAATGTCGTAGTATGATATGGCGTCCAAAAGTGCATAAAAATGTCATAGTATAGTATGGTGTCCAAAATTGCATAAAAATGTCATAGTATAGTATGGCGTCCAAAATTGCATAAAAATGTCATAGTATAGTATGGTGTCCAAAACTTCATGAAAATGTCATAGTATAGTATGGCGCCCAAAACTTCATAAAAACGTCATAGTATAGTATGACGTCCAAAACTTCATAAAAATGTCATAGTATAGTATGGCCTCCAAAATTTCATGAAAACCTCATAGTATAGTATGGCATCCGAAAGTGCATAAAAATGTCGTAGTATAGTATGGCGTCCAAAAGTGCATAAAAATGTCATAGTATGGTATGGCCTCCAAAATTTCATGAAAACGTCATAGTATAGTATGGCCTCCAAAATTTCATGAAAACGTCATAGTATAGTATGGCGTCCAAAATTTCAGAAAAACGTCTTATTATAGTATGGCTTCCAAAAGTGCATAAAAATGTCGTAGTATGATATGGCGCCCAAAAGTGCATAAAAATGTCATAATATAGTATGGTGTCCAAAATTGCATAAAAATGTCATAGTATAGTATGGCGTCCAAAATTGCATAAAAATGTCATAGTATAGTATGGTGTCCAAAACTTCATGAAAATGTCATAGTATAGTATGGCGCCCAAAACTTCATAAAAACGTCATAGTATAGTATGGCGTCCAAAAGTGCATAAAAACGTCATAGTATAGTATGGCCTCCAAAAGTGCATAAAAACATCATAGTATAGTGTGGCTTCCAAAAGTGCATAAAAATGTCATAGTATAGTATGGCTTCCAAAATTTCATAAAAACGTCACAGTATAGTATGGCGTCCAAAATTTCATAAAAACGTCATAGTATAGTATGGCCTCCAAAAGTGCATAAGAATGTCATAGTATAGTATGGCGTCCAAAATTGCATAAAAACGTCATAGTATAGTATGGTGTCCAAAACTTCATGAAAATGTCATAGTATAGTATGGCGCCCAAAACTTCATAAAAATGGTCATAGCATAGTATGGTGTCCAAAACTTCATAAAAATGGTCATAGCATAGTATGGCGTCCAAAACTTCATAAAAATGTCATAGTATAGTATGACGTCCAAAACTTCATAAAAATGTCATAGTATAGTATGGCCTTCAAAATTTCATGAAAACGTCATAGTATGGTATGGCGTCCAAAATTTCATAAAAACGTCTTATTATAGTATGGCCTCCAAAATTTCAGAAAAACGTCATAGTATAGTATGGCGTCCAAAATTTCATAAAAACGTCTTATTATAGTATGGCGTCCAAAATTTCAGAAAAATGTCATAGTATAGTATGGCCTCCAAAATGTCATAAAAATGTCATAATATAGTATGGCGCCCAAAAGTGCATAAAAATGTCATAGTATAGTATGGCGTCCAAAAGTGCATAAAAACGTATGGCCTCCAAAATTTCAGAAAAACTTCTTATTATAGTATGGCATCCGAAAGTGCATAAAAATGTCGTAGTATAGTATGGCATCCAAAAGTGCATAAAAATGTCATGGTATGGTATGGCGTCCAAAATTTCAGAAAAACGTCTTATTATAGTATGGCCTCCAAAATTTCAGAAAAACGTCATAGTATAGTATGGCGTCCAAAATTTCATAAAAACGTCTTATTATAGTATGGCGTCCAAAATTTCAGAAAAACGTCATAGTATAGTATGGCCTCCAAAATGTCATAAAAATGTCATAATATAGTATGGCGCCCAAAAGTGCATAAAAATGTCATAGTATAGTATGGCGTCCAAAAGTGCATAAAAACGTATGGCCTCCAAAATTTCAGAAAAACTTCTTATTATAGTATGGCATCCGAAAGTGCATAAAAATGTCGTAGTATAGTATGGCATCCAAAAGTGCATAAAAATGTCATGGTATGGTATGGCGTCCAAAATTTCAGAAAAACGTCTTATTATAGTATGGCCTCCAAAATTTCAGAAAAACGTCATAGTATAGTATGGCGTCCAAAATTTCATAAAAACGTCTTATTATAGTATGGCGTCCAAAATTTCAGAAAAACGTCATAGTATAGTATGGCCTCCAAAATGTCATAAAAATGTCATAGTATAGTATGGCGCCCAAAAGTGCATAAAAATGTCATAGTATAGTATGGCGTCCAAAAGTGCATAAAAACGTCATGGTATGGTATGGCGTCCAAAATTTCAGAAAAACGTCTTATTATAGTATGGCCTCCAAAATTTCAGAAAAACGTCATAGTATAGTATGGCGTCCAAAATTTCATAAAAACGTCTTATTATAGTATGGCGTCCAAAATTTCAGAAAAACGTCATAGTATAGTATGGCCTCCAAAATGTCATAAAAATGTCATAGTATAGTATGGCGCCCAAAAGTGCATAAAAATGTCATAGTATAGTATGGCGTCCAAAAGTGCATAAAAACGTCATAGTATATAGTACGGCCTCCAAAATTTCAGAAAAATGTCATAGTATAGTATGGCGTCCAAAATTTCAGAAAAACGTCATAGTATAGTATGGCCTCCAAAAGTGCATAAAAATGTCATAGTATAGTATGGCGTCCAAAAGTGCATAAAAACGTCATAGTATAGTATGGCGTCCAAAATTTCATAAAAACGTCTTATTATAGTATGGCGTCCAAAATTTCAGAAAAACGTCATAGTATAGTATGGCCTCCAAAATGTCATAAAAATGTCATAGTATAGTATGGCGCCCAAAAGTGCATAAAAATGTCATAGTATAGTATGGCGTCCAAAAGTGCATAAAAACGTCATAGTATAGTATGGCCTCTAAAATTTCATAAAAACGTCATAGTATAGTATGGCTTCCAAAAGTGCATAAAAACATCATAGTATAGTATGGCCTCTAAAATTTCATAAAAACGTCATAGTGTAGTATGGCCTCTAAAATTTCATAAAAACATCATAGTATAGTATGGCCTCTAAAATTTCATAGAAACGTCATAGTATAGTATGGCCTCTAAAATTTCATAAAAACATCTTAGTATAGTATGGCCTCTAAAATTTCATAAAAACGTCATAGTATAGTATGGCCTCCAAAATTTCATAAAAACGTCATATGGCTTCCAAAAGTGCATAAAAACGTCTTAGTATGGCCTCCAAAATTTCATAAAAACATCATAGTATAGTATGGCCTCTAAAATTTCATAGAAACATCATAGTATAGTATGGCGTCCAAAATTACATAAAAACGTTTTATTATAGTATGGCCTGTAAAATTTTATAAAAATGTCATAGTATAGTATGGCATCCAAAAATGCATAAAAATGTCATAATGTTCATGGTGACCTCTGGTCTTCAACTTCAGGACCCTGTGCTGTTTTCTGGTTCTCTGAGGATGAACCTTGACCCCTTTAATAACTGTTCAGAGGAGGATCTGTGGAAAGCTCTGGAACTGGCTCATCTCAGCAACTTTGTGTCTGCATTGCCACAAAAACTGGACTATCAGTGCTGTGAAGGAGGAGAGAACCTCAGGTAGGTCCACCTAAAACTAGTCTGGATGTGGTTTACCATGAAGCCAGCTGGACAGTCAGGCTTTCTTTGTGTTAGCTGGCTCAACAAAACCTAAACTCCAGTCAGAGATGTGCTTAATTTTTTACACATGAATGACAACTTATTTCACCTGCAGATTGTTGTGTTCACAGACATCTTCACAATAACAGTGACACATTTGTGCAGTTAGTTTTATCATTTTATTTATTTACATTGGTGACAGCAGCAGATTTGTTGTCAAGTGCGACGTCTTTGTCTTCAGTCTGGGTCAGAGGCAGCTGCTGTGTTTGGCCAGAGCTCTCCTGAGGAAGACCAGGATCTTGGTTTTGGATGAGGCAACAGCAGCTGTGGACCTCAAGACAGACCAGCTGATCCAGTCCACCATTCGTACTCAGTTTGATGATTGTACAGTACTAACCATCGCACACCGCCTCAACACCATCATGGACTACACTAGGTACACTAGGTTGATTATAGGTCATTGTTTTAGAGTGAGACAGGGAAGTTGTTTATTATTGACAACAATAACTGGATACGTCACAGTACTTAATTAAATTTTATTGACTCATGGTCCTGTCTCTTTCCTCAGGGTGATTGTGATGGAGCGAGGCTCCATTGTAGAGATGGACTCCCCCTCTCAGCTCCTCCGCCTGCAGGGTCACTTCTATCAGATGTGTCTTGAAGCTGGTTTGGTCTAACATAAGTTTATTGTTTATTTATAAACAAACTGTTTGATGCTGGAGTGACGTACAAATCTCTCAGAGACACTTTAAACAACAGTAACAATGTTTTATTATCCAGCTGTCAGAAACATGAATTTGTGTTTACACTGAGCATGTGCAGTTAGTCATGTGACTGCTTCACTAGCTACAAGCTAACAGGCTAACAGTGTTTTCTGAAAGTAAGGCTCAATCAGTTAGTAAAACATCAAAACTCGTGGCAAATATTCATCTGATTCTATCGTCATGATGACATCAGCAGGTGGGCGGGTCCACCTGATCCCTGATTTGATTAGTTTTTGTGATCTGATGAAAGTGTTTGTGTTTTTAGGATCCTTTAGTGCTTCTGATCATCGCCTCCATCATCTTCCACTGATCTGGGGTCACCTGAGACACAAACACATTATTATTTTCATCTCTAACACTTTAAATGTAAATCATGACCATGTCAGAAATAAAGTCTGAATCATCATCAACATATATCCTTCATATATCTGTGTGTTCTTTGATCTAAATATTCCAAACTACTAAGTGAAATAAAGGAGTGGACACATGTTGGTTTGTATGACTGAGTTATTAATTATTATTGTTCACTCACCCTGCGCAGCTCGTTGAACTCTCCGGCCATTGACACGTATTCTCCTCCATCAAACCGAATCACCTGGAAACAAACAAGGTTATAAAACTTAAACATTTAACATTGGTCAAAACTCTAGCATGGCATCCAGAACTGCCTAAAAATGTCATCGTATAGTATGGCGTCCAATATCTCAGAAAAACATCATAGTATGTAATAGGCCGTCCAAAACGGCATAAAAACGTCACATATAAACCAATCTTCATGATGGCAAAATCTATGAAAATAAATGCAGATCAAAAAATCAATACAGTTCGTTTTTAATGTCTAAATAACTTTTGTTGACAAAAGTGCATAAAAACGTCATAGTATAGTATGGCGTCCAAAAGTGCATAAAAACGTCATTATGGTATGGCGTCCAAAGTGCATAAAAAGGTCATAGTATAGTATGGCGTCCAAAGTGCATAAAAACATCATAGTATAGTATGGCGTCCAAAAGTGCATAAAAAGGTCATAGTATAGTATGGCGTCCAAAGTGCATAAAAACATCATAGTATAGTATGGCGTCCAAAAGTGCATAAAAAGGTCATAGTATAGTATGGCAAACAAAACTGTGTAAAACCTCTGATCTAATATCAGTCTCAACTCTGGGGCCTGTATCACGAAGCAGGATTAATGTCTTGGCGAGGTAACTTCAGGGTTAACCCTGGGTTTTCGGTCTCACGAAGCCGGTTCAGTTCTTATCGGGGTAGATCACCATGGTAACTTACTCTGAACGGCTATCCTGCTCCGGAGCAGGGTAAGTTCAGGGTTGAATCTGATCCTATAAAAAGCACCACCCACTGGCCAATCAGCTGTTCGGAAAAAAATGACTCCGCTGACAGAAATGCAGCCCAGTCATGACGGGAAGTTTAATTCATTTGATTGATTTTGATTTGAAAGTTTATTTTGAACATTAAAAAAGAAAAGAAAGCAACAACAACAGACAATGAAAAGATTGTTCAAAAAGGAGTGGAAAGAAGTCGAAATTTCATCCCACCCCTTCATAAGAAAGAAACTGATCATTTGCGGACACTTAATAGCACCATTAATTAGTGCCAACATTTTGTTTTGTTGGAGGAAATGATCCCTGTTAAAGATAATGGGCCTAATTGACAGCTTTGCTGCTGGAAATGTGGAAAGTAGCCTATCATGTCTACACTTCATGGTGTTTGAGGGATTTTCCTTTTTGTTTTTTAAAGAGGGAGACTAGGTATATTTTTGCGCAGCTGTTAATTTCTAACACAGCTCAATATCAGGATGATTTTATTCAGACTATCAATTTGGTGTTGATATGATTTAATTGTGGCGTCAGCTTTAAGCTTTATTGTAGCATATATAACGTTATGACAAAGAAGACCAATTTATCAGACGCAATGATGTTAGACGATAATTGTAATACACGCAATTCATCTGCGCAGCATTGATTTCATGGGATTCAAGGGTGTGATCAGTGTCAGATGTACAGGTACAGGTACTGTAGCTACTTGAACCAGTGATGAGTAATTTAACCTACACATCATTTTATTTGCTACCTTGTTTTGTCTTGATTTTTCCCTCTCTCCTCCTCTATTTCTTCTTTCCTGACCCGTTTTTTTTTCTTCTCTATCATGTGATTTCATTGATGTTTTGACAGGGGAATTTCTTTGATAAGCTTTTAGTGGCTTCTAACCTCTCCGGCACTTTTCTTTGTTTAATCTTGTAAATTTTATACTGTCTGTTTTTAACATTATGTGCAAATAAACTAATCTAAACTAAAACTAAACATTATTCATCCCGTTATGCGTTGCCACGCATGTTTCCTCCTCCTGCAGCTGCCACGGTGTTGGCCTTTTCTCTAATGTTGCTTTCCTCCTCCTCATATTTTAGTAGAGTTAATCTCTGATCCTCACGAGAAATACTTTTTTTCCTCACATACAGCGCTCTGTGAGGACGCTCAGTGAGGACGCTCAGTGAGGACGCTCAGTGACGCTGCGCTTCTCTCATGATTGTGATTGGTCCGCTGCGTGCGCGTTCACGGCTTTTGATAAAGCAACCCTGGGTTGATTTACCGAGTTGATATCCAGCGTCGTGATACCGATTATCCTGATTGCCATTGTTAGGGTTAGTCAACCCAGGATAGGTCTGGGTAACCCAGGAAAGGTTGATCTCGCTTCCCTGGTCTAAACTCTGATCCAGGATCAGTCAGACTCACAGCTCCAGACATCCAGGTAGCGTAGTCACTGCTCATGTACGCTGCCAGGTTTGCGATCTCTGCTGGTGTTCCGAGTCGACCTGTTGGGATCCGACTGATCATCGTCTTTTCGAAGGCTCCGGTCGGGTCTAGACGGCTGAACGCCCCCTAAACACAACAAACCACAGGTAAACAACAACAGACAACTGTAGATAAACAAACTTCATCAGCTGTGGTCAAATGGGCAGTACCTTCGTTCTGATTGGTCCAGGCTGGATTATGTTGAACCTGTGGCCATAGCGCCCCCACTCTGCCGCCAGGGACCTGACACACACAACATTAGTGTTACCGTGGCAACAATCATAATGACGTCATGATAAAGCAGTGTGTGTGACTTCAGCTGTGTTGAGCTGAAAGGTTAAATGCCACACTGACTTGTAGAGCGCCTCGACTCCAGCCTTCGCCGACGCACTCGGAACCACGAAACCTGAACCAGACTCAGCGTAGATGGTGGTGATGGAGAGGAAGGACGCACCTGAACAACAACAATAAATACAAACAGTAAACAATGTACAATCAACATAAACAATAAAATCACAATAACAACACAAACAACAAATAATAACAAAATCAGACTTTAAATTACTTCTGATCTTTCATAGACCTCTGACCTTTCTCACTCTGGATCAGTCTCTTAGTGACCTCTGACCTTTCTGACTCTAGATCAGCCTCAGTGACCTCTGACCTTTCTGACTCTGGATCAGTCTCTTAGTGACCTCTGACCTTTCTGACTCTAGATCAGCCTCAGTGACCTCTGACCTTTCTGACTCTGGATCAGTCTCTTAGTGACCTCTGACCTTTCTGACTCTAGATCAGCCTCAGTGACCTCTGACCTTTCTGACTCTGGATCAGTCTCTTAGTGACCTCTGACCTTTCTGACTCTAGATCAGCCTCAGTGACCTCTGACCTTTCTGACTCTGGATCAGTCTCTTAGTGACCTCTGACCTTTCTGACTCTAGATCAGCCTCAGTGACCTCTGACCTTTCTGACTCTGGATCAGTCTCTTAGTGACCTCTGACCTTTCTGGCTCTGGATCAGTCTCTTAGTGACCTCTGACCTTTCTGACCCTGGCTCAGTCTCTTAGTGACCTCTGACCTCTCCACTCTGGATCAGTCTCTTAGTGACCTCTGACCTTTCTGACTCTGGATCAGTCTCTTAGTGACCTCTGACCTTTCTGACTCTGGATCAGTCTCAGTGACCTCTGACCTTTCTGACTCTGGATCAGTCTCTTAGTGACCTCTGACCTTTCTGACTCTGGATCAGTCTCTTAGTGACCTCTGACCTTTCTGACCCTGGCTCAGTCTCTTAGTGACCTCTGACCTTTCTCACTCTGGATCAGTCTCTTAGTGACCTCTGACCTTTCTGACTCTGGATCAGTCTCTTAGTGACCTCTGACCTTTCTGACTCTAGATCAGCCTCAGTGACCTCTGACCTTTCTGACTCTGGATCAGTCTCTTAGTGACCTCTGACCTTTCTGACTCTAGATCAGCCTCAGTGACCTCTGACCTTTCTGACTCTGGATCAGTCTCTTAGTGACCTCTGACCTTTCTGACTCTGGATCAGTCTCTTAGTGACCTCTGACCTTTCTGACCCTGGCTCAGTCTCTTAGTGACCTCTGACCTTTCTCACTCTGGATCAGTCTCTTAGTGACCTCTGACCTTTCTGACTCTGGATCAGTCTCTTAGTGACCTCTGACCTTTCTGACTCTAGATCAGCCTCAGTGACCTCTGACCTTTCTGACTCTGGATCAGTCTCTTAGTGACCTCTGACCTTTCTGACTCTGGATCAGTCTCTTAGTGACCTCTGACCTTTCTGACCCTGGCTCAGTCTCTTAGTGACCTCTGACCTTTCTCACTCTGGATCAGTCTCTTAGTGACCTCTGACCTTTCTGACTCTGGATCAGTCTCTTAGTGACCTCTGACCTTTCTGACTCTAGATCAGCCTCAGTGACCTCTGACCTTTCTGACTCTGGATCAGTCTCTTAGTGACCTCTGACCTTTCTGACTCTGGATCAGTCTCTTAGTGACCTCTGACCTTTCTGACCCTGGCTCAGTCTCTTAGTGACCTCTGACCTTTCTCACTCTGGATCAGTCTCTTAGTGACCTCTGACCTTTCTGACTCTGGATCAGTCTCTTAGTGACCTCTGACCTTTCTGACTCTGGATCAGTCTCTTAGTGACCTCTGACCTTTCTGACCCTGGATCAGTCTCTTAGTGACCTCTGACCTTTCTGACCCTGGCTCAGTCTCTTAGTGACCTCTGACCTTTCTCACTCTGGATCAGTCTCTTAGTGACCTCTGACCTTTCTGACTCTGGATCAGTCTCTTAGTGACCTCTGACCTTTCTGACCCTGGATCAGTCTCTTAGTGACCTCTGACCTTTCTGACCCTGGCTCAGTCTCTTAGTGACCTCTGACCTTTCTCACTCTGGATCAGTCTCTTAGTGACCTCTGACCTTTCTGACTCTGGATCAGTCTCTTAGTGACCTCTGACCTTTCTGACCCTGGATCAGTCTCTTAGTGACCTCTGACCTTTCTGACCCTGGCTCAGTCTCTTAGTGACCTCTGACCTTTCTCACTCTGGATCAGTCTCTTAGTGACCTCTGACCTTTCTGACTCTGGATCAGTCTCTTAGTGACCTCTGACCTTTCTGACCCTGGATCAGTCTCTTAGTGACCTCTGACCTTTCTGACCCTGGCTCAGTCTCTTAGTGACCTCTGACCTTTCTCACTCTGGATCAGTCTCTTAGTGACCTCTGACCTTTCTGACTCTGGATCAGTCTCTTAGTGACCTCTGACCTTTCTGACCCTGGATCAGTCTCTTAGTGACCTCTGACCTTTCTGACCCTGGCTCAGTCTCTTAGTGACCTCTGACCTTTCTCACTCTGGATCAGTCTCTTAGTGACCTCTGACCTTTCTGACTCTGGATCAGTCTCTTAGTGACCTCTGACCTTTCTGACTCTAGATCAGCCTCAGTGACCTCTGACCTTTCTGACTCTGGATCAGTCTCTTAGTGACCTCTGACCTTTCTGACTCTAGATCAGCCTCAGTGACCTCTGACCTTTCTGACTCTGGATCAGTCTCTTAGTGACCTCTGACCTTTCTGACTCTGGATCAGTCTCTTAGTGACCTCTGACCTTTCTGACCCTGGCTCAGTCTCTTAGTGACCTCTGACCTTTCTCACTCTGGATCAGTCTCTTAGTGACCTCTGACCTTTCTGACTCTGGATCAGTCTCTTAGTGACCTCTGACCTTTCTGTCTCTGGATCAGTCTCTTAGTGACCTCTGACCTTTCTGACCCTGGCTCAGTCTCTTAGTGACCTCTGACCTTTCTCACTCTGGATCAGTCTCTTAGTGACCTCTGACCTTTCTGACTCTGGATCAGTCTCTTAGTGACCTCTGACCTTTCTGACTCTAGATCAGCCTCAGTGACCTCTGACCTTTCTGACTCTGGATCAGTCTCTTAGTGACCTCTGACCTTTCTGACTCTGGATCAGTCTCTTAGTGACCTCTGACCTTTCTGACCCTGGCTCAGTCTCTTAGTGACCTCTGACCTTTCTCACTCTGGATCAGTCTCTTAGTGACCTCTGACCTTTCTGACTCTGGATCAGTCTCTTAGTGACCTCTGACCTTTCTGTCCCTGGATCAGTCTCTTAGTGACCTCTGACCTTTCTGACCCTGGCTCAGTCTCTTAGTGACCTCTGACCTTTCTCACTCTGGATCAGTCTCTTAGTGACCTCTGACCTTTCTGACTCTGGATCAGCCTCAGTGACCTCTGACCTTTCTGACTCTGGATCAGTCTCTTAGTGACCTCTGACCTTTCTGACTCTGGATCAGTCTCTTAGTGACCTCTGACCTTTCTGACCCTGGATCAGTCTCTTAGTGACCTCTGACCTTTCTGACCCTGGCTCAGTCTCTTAGTGACCTCTGACCTTTCTCACTCTGGATCAGTCTCTTAGTGACCTCTGACCTTTCTGACTCTGGATCAGTCTCTTAGTGACCTCTGACCTTTCTGACTCTAGATCAGCCTCAGTGACCTCTGACCTTTCTGACTCTGGATCAGTCTCTTAGTGACCTCTGACCTTTCTGACTCTGGATCAGTCTCTTAGTGACCTCTGACCTTTCTGACCCTGGCTCAGTCTCTTAGTGACCTCTGACCTTTCTCACTCTGGATCAGTCTCTTAGTGACCTCTGACCTTTCTGACTCTGGATCAGTCTCTTAGTGACCTCTGACCTTTCTGACTCTAGATCAGCCTCAGTGACCTCTGACCTTTCTGACTCTGGATCAGTCTCTTAGTGACCTCTGACCTTTCTGACTCTGGATCAGTCTCTTAGTGACCTCTGACCTTTCTGACCCTGGCTCAGTCTCTTAGTGACCTCTGACCTTTCTCACTCTGGATCAGTCTCTTAGTGACCTCTGACCTTTCTGACTCTGGATCAGTCTCTTAGTGACCTCTGACCTTTCTGACTCTAGATCAGCCTCAGTGACCTCTGACCTTTCTGACTCTGGATCAGTCTCTTAGTGACCTCTGACCTTTCTGACTCTGGATCAGTCTCTTAGTGACCTCTGACCTTTCTGACCCTGGCTCAGTCTCTTAGTGACCTCTGACCTTTCTCACTCTGGATCAGTCTCTTAGTGACCTCTGACCTTTCTGACTCTGGATCAGTCTCTTAGTGACCTCTGACCTTTCTGACTCTGGATCAGTCTCTTAGTGACCTCTGACCTTTCTGACCCTGGATCAGTCTCTTAGTGACCTCTGACCTTTCTGACCCTGGCTCAGTCTCTTAGTGACCTCTGACCTTTCTCACTCTGGATCAGTCTCTTAGTGACCTCTGACCTTTCTGACTCTGGATCAGTCTCTTAGTGACCTCTGACCTTTCTGACTCTAGATCAGCCTCAGTGACCTCTGACCTTTCTGACTCTGGATCAGTCTCTTAGTGACCTCTGACCTTTCTGACTCTAGATCAGCCTCAGTGACCTCTGACCTTTCTGACTCTGGATCAGTCTCTTAGTGACCTCTGACCTTTCTGACTCTGGATCAGTCTCTTAGTGACCTCTGACCTTTCTGACCCTGGCTCAGTCTCTTAGTGACCTCTGACCTTTCTCACTCTGGATCAGTCTCTTAGTGACCTCTGACCTTTCTGACCCTGGCTCAGTCTCTCAGTGACCCCTGACCTTTCTGACTCTGGATCAGCCTCTTGCCCAGCTCCAGGGTAACGAAGGCCGTCCCATTCAGGACGATGTCGGTGATGCTCTTCCAGCCATTTGGCGACAAACGTTCTGACGGACAGACGAAGTTTCCTGCTGCGTTGTTGATGATCACCTGGACCAATCAAGACACACGAGCACTGTCGTCATCAGTAGGTCAGGGTGAGGGTTGGGGAACACATCATGTCAGTGATGGTCCTAACAAACGTGTGTGTGTGTGTGTGTGTGTGCTCTTACATCAGGAAGTCCTGTCAGAGTTTCTGTCTGGTCGACACAGTGAGAGACAGCCTTTGGATCTTTGACATCACACTGAACCGCATGGACCTGAGACAGAGACAGAGGGGGGACCAGCTCAGACCAGGAGCCTCAGTGATTATATAAAACTGTACATACATAAATTAAAATGCTGTTTTCTAATGTGCGCTGGTTGGTTCTGGTTTGTCACCTTGTTTCCAGTCTGGCTGCTGATCTCCTCGGCTGTTTGCTGCAGGACGTCCAACTTCCTGAACAAATAACACAAACACAACCTCAGATTCATGAATCATATTTTAAACTATTTTATAAAGTTTATTAAAAGCTCAAAAGTCCAATTTTATCTGATGTTTTCTAGAATTACAAACGTCATCGGTCCATCACATGTACACACACACTGATATATATATTAACAGTCAGCAGTGGAGGATGACCTCTGACCTGCTGGCGATGACACACTGAGCTCCCAGCTGTGACAGGGTGGTGGTCATGGCTCGGCCTAGTCCCGTCCCCCCTCCTGTGATGAACGCCACTTTGTTTTTCAAGCTTCCAGCCGGCAGCATGGCGCCTTCAACCGGCGGGAAGAAGCTTGACTGAGGAGGAGCAGAACCGGACTGCTGAGGAAGAACCGCCGAGCTGTGGAACCATGACTGAAAGAACACAGTGTTTGTGAGAGAACAGAAGATACGTGCGTGTGTGTGTAGAAGTTATTTGTATTTACTGTGTAATTTAATTTTTTTATTGCACTTGGACTAAAAATGAGAATCGAGAACTGGTTCCACTTCAGACCCAGTTATAAATTGTCCGGTCCATCAGAATCGTATCCCTCCAAGCTAAACACTTCCTTTTATTTAACGTCTGCATGTTTTTCTGTCAAACGTGCATTACATAACGATGATGCCAAAAACAAAAAACAAACTAAATCAGATCAGAAGTTCAGCCATTTTAGGGAGGCAGCATATAATGATCTCCCAGGACAACTGCACACACTATAACTTATTAATGACATACTAATTTATGACTTTTTTAAAAAACAAAAAAAAATGACATACTATACTGTGACTTAAAATATCTTTTATGACATACTATGACGTTTTCAAATGTTTTGACGTACTATGCAGTGACTTTTTAAAAATATTTTTTATGATTACTATACCATGACTTTTTTTAATTATGACATACTATACTATGACTTATAGTATTATATTTTTTATTTATTTTTTATTTATATTTTTCATGGCATGCTATTACTTTTTAAAATATTTTGACATACTAACTATACAATGACTTTTTTTAAAATGGCATACTATATTATGACTTTTTAAAGTATTTTTTATGTCATACTACACTATGACTTTTTAAAGTACTTTCATGACACACTATACTATTTTTTTTTTAATTTATCACATACTACACTATAACTTTTTATTTTTTATGACATACTATACAATGACTTTTTTGAAATAATAAAAAAATTCTAAATATAACTTTTTATTTTTTTATGTACACTATGACTATTTTTTTAAATTATCACGTACTGTACTAAGACTTTTTGTAAATTATGACATACTATGAATTTTTAAAAAAAATTATGAGCTACTATACTATGACTTTTTAAAGTATTTTTCATGACATACTACACTATATTTTTTTTAATTTATCACATACTACACTATAAAATTTTTATTTTTAATGCCATACTATACAATGACTTTTGAAATAATAAAAATTCTAAATCTAACTTTTTATTTTTTTATGTCATACTACACTATGAACTTTTTATTTTTAATGACATACTATACAATTACTTTTGAAATAAATTATTTTAAATTTCTAAATATAATTTTATTTTTTTATGTCATACTACACTATGACTTTTTATTTTTTATGACATACTATATGATGACTTTTTAAATAAATTAATCTTTTTTAATTTCTAACTATAACTTTATTTTTTATGTCATACTACACTATGACTTTTTAAAGTATTTTTCATGACATACTATACTATATTTTTTTAATTTATCACATACTACACTATAACTTTTTATTTTTTATGACATACTATACAATGACTTTTTTGAAATAATAAAAAAATTCTAAATATAACTTTTTATTTTTTTATGTANTACACTATAACTTTTTATTTTTTATGACATACTATACAATGACTTTTTTGAAATAATAAAAAAAATTCTAAATATAACTTTTTATTTTTTTATGTCATACTACACTATGACTATTTTTTTAAATTATCACGTACTGTACTAAGACTTTTTGTAAATTATGACATACTATGAATTTTTTTTAAAAAATTATGAGATACTACACTGACTTTTTAAAGTATTTTTCATGACATACTACACTATATTTTTTTTAATTTATCACATACTACACTATAAACTTTTTATTTTTAATGACGTACTATACAATGACTTTTGAAATAAATTATTTTAAATTTCTAAATATAACTTTATTTTTTTATGTCATACTACACTATGACTTTTTATTTTTTATGACATACTATACGATGACTTTTTTAAATAAATTAATCTTTTTTAATTTCTAAATATAACCTTATTTTTTTGTCATACTACACTATGACTTTTTTAAAATTATGACATACTATGACTTTTTTTTTTTTTAAAGAGATACTACACTATGACTTTTTAAAGTATCTTTTATGACACACTATACGACCACTTCTTTATTTCTTTTTATTAGAAGAGGAACAACTGAGAATTAAACATTTAAGTTCTGTCTTTCAACAAATATTACTTATAATAATACAAATATCACTTATGCATGTTAATGTACAGTATCTAATTATCTAAGTTTGTACGGTACAAAGATCGTTGCTGTTGTTCAGCATTGTTGACTTTTTATTGTGTATTTGTTTTAGGGGATGTGAAGCTGTTGGATTATCTGCTCATCAGCACCTGGGGCTGTATTCACAAACATGCACATGGGAGAAATTCTCCCAGTCACAAAGTCTTTTCTGACAGAAATCCATTCATGACTTTGTTCTTGTTCTTGACCAATAGATCCCTCTCTGAGAGAAAACCCTCAAGGAATATTTCTCCAAACTACCACTTAGTAAATTATTGAAGCTGACTGTGATGGAGAGGCTCATGCTGATGTTACAGCCCCACCTGATGTTCAGATCACTGAACAGCTGCAGCTGCAGCCAGAACCAGGCTCCGCTTTACCTTCGTGATATTCTACATTTTTCATCAACAGATTTTTAAACACAAAAACAAGTGATACACGAGAAGAGAAAATATTTCACTGCACTGTCAAAGACACTGACAGATGATTACTGAATGTTTGTTGTTTTGCAGCTTCCCTCTGACGTCACAGTTTGCCGTTTTAAAAACTTTGATTTGTCTTACATATATAAATCTAAATACTAAATACAAAAAAGTTTTCTCACCCTGTGAGCTGCAGTCCTCACTGATCTGAGAAGTTCTCCGCTCCTCCAAAACACAGCTGCCGCCATGTTGTTCAACATCTGATGACCCTTTACCCGGATTATACCAACACGGAGACACAGGGGGGAGAGAGTGGAAAAAATGGACTTTTCTTCATGCTTTTCTTATGACATCAAATCAAGAACACCTGTGCTTGGTCATGAAAGTGCTCATGGGAAATGCAGTTCACAGCTGTAGTTTTTGAAATGTAAGCATTTTTTGCCTTTAATGGACAGGACAGTTAAGTGTGAAGGGGGGGGGGGGGGGGGGGGGATGACATGCAGCAAAGGGCCACAGTCTGGACTCGAACCCGGGCCGCTGCGGCAACAGCCTTGTAAATGGGGCACCTGCTCTACCACTAATCAGAATAAATAAATAATAGTAGCTACAATCTGTTTATAATCATTTAAATAATAATAAAACATTTATAATATGGACAATAAACTTTGTGGGGGTTTAAGATGAGTTACAATGACTGCTGACAAAATAGATTATGTCTTTATGTGCCGTAAACATTCAGCCCAAGTTTTTTTTAGGATCACATAATGTATAAAAATTCCTTTTTTTTTTTTTAATGTATAAAAATATCTATATCACGAGTTTTATATGTCATAATCGGCATATTTCTACATAATAATAATAATAATAATTATTATTAGTAGTAGTAGTAGTAGTAGTAGTAGTAGTAGTAGTAGTATGCGAAACAATTTAACTAATTTAAATATCATTTCCATGTCAGAATCGGACGTTATGTCCACATTGACTCCCCCCTCTGTAAGCTGCAGTGGTTCAGTCCACAATGTGACGATGATCACATGTTACCGTAATGTCTCCAACATGTTGCGCCTTCAGAAAAACACTCCAGTATTTTTCTGATTCCTCCCCACAAACAAACTTCACGCGTCTCCTGATCGATATCTGATCAGTTTAATATCGATCAGTGATGTGGATGAACCATGTTGTGTTTTTATAATCATGAAGACAGTGGTTTTATTTTGAAGTGCTTCCTGTTTGCTCGGACAGTTACGGTACCGGTCCAGTGTGGTCCGACAGTCTGAACACGGAGATGATGGTAAGAGGCAGCGGCGGATCGATCAGCAACAGATATCGATAGGTGTTATTGATGACAGATGGAGGATCGAGTCTCTGAACCCAAACTGGTTCTGGTCTTCAGCGGGAAGCGGAAGTCCGGAAAGGATTATGTGACGGACCTGATCCACAACCGGTAAAACTGTCCGGGTGGTTTGTTTCTGCCTGTTAGTGATCAGTATTGATCCTGATCATTAATCAATGATTACTGTCAGTGGTTTGTTGCTCTGTGAGTCTCTGATCAGTTATCGATTCAAACTTTATTGATTATTTATTTCTGTAAATCTGTTTTTGTTTGTGACGAAACTGGAGCTCTGACCTGAGATCAGAAAACTGCAGTAACTCTGTTTCATTGCAGTACTTTGTAATAGATTACTTCAGTACTTTGTCAGATTACTGCAGTACTTTATGTCCAATTACTGAGGTATTTTCTGTAAGATTATTGAATACTCTTGTATCTTCTGTAATTTTGTTACAGTACTTTTTCTTCAGATTACTGCAATACTTTGTCAGATTACTGCAGTACTTCCTGTGAAATTGCTGCAATACTTTATGTCCGATTACTGACATATTTTCTGTCAGACTATTGCAGTACTCTCTGTCAAATTATTGTAGTACTTTCTATAGATTACTGCAGTATTTCTCGTTTGATCAAGCCTGCCATGTTGATGCAGTACTTTCTGTTAGATTACTGCAGTACTTTCTGTCATATTGTTGTGGTACTGTCAGATTACTTCGCTGAGTTTAATGCAGTACATTCTGGGAAATTACTTCAGTACTTTGTCAGATTATTTTAGTGCGTTCTGTGAGAATACTGCAGTACTTTATGTGAGATTACTGTAGTAATTTATGTCTGACTTTCTTTCAGATTAGCCTACTGTTCCTCAGCTCACCTGTTTCTTCTTCTGTAGTTTTTATTATTGCACCTGTATGAAGTTTACACGTTTCTTCTTCTGTAGTTTAGGACCTGATGTTTGCTGCATCCTGCGTCTGTCTGGACCTCTCAAACAGCAGTACGCTCAGGTGAGACACCTGCTGACACACACACACACACACACACACACACACACACACACAAACAACACATCACTCGGTTACTGCTGAGTCATGTTAGGTCTGGTGGTTCTGCTGTGTCATGTTAGTTCTGTTGGTTCTGCTTAGTCATGTCAGGTCTGTTGGTTCTGCTGTGTCATGTTAGTTCTGTTGGTTCTGCTAAGTCATGTTAGGTCTGTTGGTTCTGATGTGTCATGTTAGTTCTATTGGTTCTGCTGAGTCATGTTAGTTCTATTGGTTCTGCTGAGTCATGTTAGTTCTGTTGGTTCTGCTTAGTCATGTTAGTTCTATTGGTTCTGCTGAGTCATGTTAATTCTGCTGGTTTCACAGGAGCACGGCCTGGACCTGGACCAGCTGCTGGGTCCTGGTCTTTATAAGGAGCAGTATCGGGCTGATATGATTCGTTGGGGAGAAGCTCGGCGACGCGAGGACCCCGGATTCTTCTGTCGCCTAGCAACCAGAGGAGCACGACAACCTGTCTGGGTATGTTACCGTCCATCCCTGAGGTCACCGCCTCTTCTTCTTTAATGTTTCTCTGTGTATTTGAAGCTGTTTATGAGACCAGCAGCTCGTACTGATGGGGCCAGACTGTTTACCTCACCTTCTGTGGTGACATCATTGTTTATAGTTTAAACTGTTGAGCTAATGTTTATTATCACAAAGATTAACCTTGGAAAGCTGTCAGTAAGAAAACAACACATTAGACATAACTTAAATCTAATGTTAAAGGACCAGTGTTTAAGATTTGGGGGATTTGGAGACATCTAGTGGTGAAGACTGCACATTACAACCAGCTGAAACTTCTCCTGGTTAGAAGTCCTTCAGTGTTCAGGTGGTTTTTACTGTGAGCTGAAATATCTACTGATTGGTCAGGTGGTGAGTGATGCTCTCTGCTCTCTGATTGGTCAGGTGGTGAGTGATGCGCGGCGGCTGTCAGACCTGCAGTGGTTCTGGTCGGAGTTTCCTCGACAGACTCAAAGTGTCAGAGTTCAATGTTCAGAGAAAACACGCCAACAGAGGGGGTGGAGCTTCTCCCCAGGTAAGATTACCTGTCTGTCTCTCTGCCTGTGTGTCTTTCAGGCAGCTACAGTAACATTACATCATGTTTAACAAACGTGATTAAAGGCAACGAGAGAAACGGGGAAACATATTTTAAACGTAACAGTTTGCTCATTTACCTGTATGTCTCTCAGGTGTGGATGATGCAGAGTCAGAGTGCGGGTTGGACAGTGGGGTTAAATTTGATTGGGTGATCACTAATGACGCAGACGCCCCCTCGTTAGAAGAGCAGCTGCAGCCAATCCTGAAGCTAGCCAAGGAAGTATCCTCATCATCTTCATCGCACTGAGCAAAAGTTTTATTGATAACTGATGAATGTCACTGTTTTCTCCTTGATGATCAATAAAGTTTTTCTAAGTCTGCAGCTCCGCCACTCTCAGGTTGTTTACATCATTACTTGAAGCAAAGGCTGATGGGAGATTCTCACCTGTGAAGAGATCTTTTCAGGAAGTAAATAACCCAAAGACATTCAGTTTACTGTCAGAGTAGAGAAACCAGAAAGTATTCACATGTAAGAAGCTGCAAATCTTTTTTTTCTAACTGAAGCCATTAATCAATTATCAAATCCGTCTCTGATTAATTTAACAATGGATTAACAGAACTGACAATCAGACACCTGATTAATCACTGCAGCTCTAGAATGAGATAAAATATTTAACTGAGTTAACAGCAATAAATGGTATAAATAATGTAATAAATATAAAAAAAAACACATAAAAACTTTAATTTAACGCCCAGTCCTTTTCACTAGCCTGGTGTAGCTGCACATTTTGACAGAAAAAAAAAGGCCTGTCTCAATTAGAGGCCTGGTCTGGTTGCCAGGCAGTTCATTTTTTAATAGTTCTTCAGATGTATAAAGTCTGGTTAGTGACCACCTTACATTATGTGTCCATTCCTCGTTTACCCTTTAAGTTGTTCATTTTCCTTTAGTGTGTAAGGATCCTCTAAACAAAATAATCAAAAGGCTTTTTCATTAAAATTAATCCAAGTTGTGAGGATGTTTTAACAGGATAAAGTGGTGTAAAGTGCCGTCTGCTGGCGCTAGATCAAATGAATGATTCATAATTGATATATTATCTGAAGCCTAATGTTTATACAAGTAATATTCATACTGGTTTAAATAAATCGTAGAGCTATCGTATAATGAATCGTATTTCCCATCTTTGCTGAGCAAGTTTTGTGTGAAAGGAATTAAAGGCCTGTCCCATCTATAGGCCTGTTGACCATAGTGATATTAGCAAATAACAGCCCGAGCTACTAATTAAGTTTTACAGTACATTTGTAATCATGAGCAATTTTTCTAATCTGTCTTTTTTTGTGTTTGTTTTTTCAGTGGACTTTTGAATTTAACTTCGTGATCATATTTGAATAATATCTTTCTTAAACATTTTGTTTCACCAACATCTGCAGAAACCACTTACAGTCACGAAGTACATTTACTGCAATTACAATTAAGTATTTCTATTTTATGATACATACTTGTACATTTTACTGCAGTTACTTTTTAAATTTTTGAAAAAATAAAATAAATGTTTTGGTATGAATTAAATAAACTTGTATCCTCCTGAGACCCTGTGTCCTCATATGAGGAAATCACATTTTGAGTTTATCTGACCTTATACTTCATTCAATTTAACTTAGACCTGTTGTCTTCATTCATACACTTTTTTGTGCTGTCTGGTGGTAGTAGCCTGATCACACTTTATGGTTGACACTTGTTTATTTTTAATGTTTGTACTTTGATCAACAAATTTGACCAATTTTAGCAACAGTAACAAGCTGAGACACTGTTAGTTAGGAAGTACTCTTTTGAGGACATTGGGACTTATTGTTAAATGTTTAGTTTTCTATACTTACCGGGTCCTACTGATCCCAAATAGCCAGGAGAATTTAAAAATGCATACCAAACAAAAACTCGGGTCTCAGGCAGATATGTCTGATAATGAATAAAAAACCACAGTGAGTCAGCTTGGACCTAAATACCAGTAACGGTGCTTTTATTTTATAAAATCCTGTCTCATGATTAATTACAATGAGCTGTGACATCAGCACAGTGATGACATCATCACCAGCTTCAGGGTAAAAACATTTCTAAACTTTATTTATTTGTGTCATCAGGGAAAAGGTCGACTGTGTCTGTGATTGGCCCCTGGACTACCATGCACAGTAGTGGAATGCCTCTTTGTGATTGGCTACTTCATAACACGCCCCCAGGAACCAAACTAAAGATCATTGGCTGACAGGATGTCTGCTCTATAAATCAATCAATTAATCATTAACAAAGTAACAACAAACCATTAAGACAAACACTTCGTTAGTCGTTCATTAGTTCTTTACGAGGGAATGGCTGTAAGTCACTGTTAAACTCCCTTATAGCTCCTTGTCTGGCCTCCTGCACATAATACTGAGGAGGGGGAGGTGGGGGGAGTTGGCACTGTCAGTGAGTGAGGAGGGGGGGAGGCAGACCTCCAGACATGAGGAGTAAAGTAAAGCAACACTCCAAATAAGACTTTAAAAATCAGAGAAGGAATGTGTGAAAGCAGGAATCATTAAGAAGAGGACATGGGGAGGGGTGGGGGTGGGGGGGGGGGGGGGGGCACTGACTCCTATCTCACATCCACCAGGAGAGGAGGTGCAGAAGAGGGAGAGGAGGTCAAAGAAGGAGAGGGAATGTTTCCTGATGTCAACCAAGCAGCCAGCAGGGGGAGGAGAGGGGGGGAGGTAAGGAGGGGGAGGAATGTTTAACCTCCCAAACGTCCACCAGGAGGAGAGCAGAAGGGAGGTGAGATGAGTGAGAGTGGGAGGAGAGGAGGAGGAGTCATAGGAATGATTTGGCCACAGAGTCCCTGACGTCCACTTGTCAGGCAGCAGAGGGGGGTGGGAGGAGCAGTGGGGGAGAGGCAGAGGGGGAGGTTCAGCAGGAGTTGAGCTCGTCCATGGTCTGAGTCAGAGTCGCCTGGAGCTCCATGTTGGCATTTTTGGCCGAAGTCAAAGCCTCTGAAACAAAAAGATCAATTGACAATTACTTCGGGACATTTTAATGATTACTTTGTAATTCGTTCTTTAATATTTAATAATCATCATTAGCCCTGTGGGTCCATCACTTGCACAGACAGGTGCACTGTGAGCCGGGCAGCAGGCAAAATAAAAGGCGAGGAACTGGGCATGTGCACCCCTGACATCACAGAGTGGCTTCAGAGATGTCAAACGTCCTCTGACTGAGGAGTAACCGCTCCTAAATACAGTTCGGCTCACCTCCACAAATAGGGCCAATTCTGGAACCAAACTCCTGCAGAGGGGCTTAACTCTCACTTCCAGAGATGTCCGGGGTGATAGGTGATCTGCTGGAGTAGGAATACTCCTGAGCCCCCAGCTGAACGCCGCTGTGTTGGAGTTCTCCCCGGGGATTGAGATGATCATCTCTACACAAGTGCAAGTCGCTGGGGGGAAGTCTCTGGCTGTTTGTTTGTGCCTATGCATCACAAAGCAATTCAGAGTGCCTGGCCCTCTTGGGGTCTCTGGGTGGTATCCTGAAGGGGATACTGTCTGAGGACTCTAGTTCTACTGTTTCGACTTCAACGCTACTGTGGGCAACAACACAGATACCTGGAGGGGGTTGACAGGGGAGAAACAACCCACCTGATCTGAACTCAAGTGGTGTTTTGTTATTGGACTTCTGTGCTAGTCATGGATTGGCCATAACGAACACCATGTTGGAGCATAGGGTGGTTCATAAGTGTACTTGGTACCAGAACACCCCAGGCCAAAGACTGATGATTGACTGTGTTTGTATCATCAGATCTGCGTCCATGTGTCTTGGACACTTGAAGAGAGGAGCAAAGCTGTCAACTGATCACCACCTGGTAGTGAGTTGGATCAGATGGCAGGGAAGGGGGCTTCCATTATGGAGGCGGCTGCTTGGAGTTTGTGGTCAAAAGGTTGTTGATACAAACTGAGGCCTCAAAAAAACAGCAGGCACATCCAAAAAATGATAAATACTGGGTGCCCCCACTGCTTATTATTATTAAATACTGATAGAAGAACAAACTCTCTCACCTTCCAGACAATCGATGGTTTTCTCCAGTTTGGCAACTGAACGCTCCGCAGTGTCAGCTCTGGACTCAGCCTGCAACAAGTAATTAACAGGTAAAAACAGGAGGTCGACAGGTAATAAATGAATACAAACAAGGAGTCAGTGTCTCACCTCCGTGAGTTTCCTGGTCAGGTTCTTGATCTCCTCTTCGTACTTGTCTTCCTTCTGAGAGTACTGAGAGCAAGACAGAGACAGACAATCAGAGAACCAGGTGGACTAACACACAGACATCAGCTTATTAGGTATAAAGACACCTTGAAGTCAAATCATGAAAGAGGCTTTAATTTCTCTTCTGCAAACAGGTGAGTGTAACAGGTCAGCTAACAGGTGATTGTTACAGGTCAGCTAACAGCTAACAGCTAACAGGTGAGTGTAACAGGTGATTGTTACAGGTCAGCTAACAGGTGATTGTTACAGGTCAGCTAACAGGTGAGTGTAACAGGTCAGCTAACAGCTAACAGGTGATTGTTACAGGTCAGCTAACAGGTGAGTGTAACAGGTCAGCTAACAGCTAACAGGTGATTGTTACAGGTCAGCTAACAGCTAACAGGTGAGTGTAACAGGTCAGCTAATGGGTGAGTGTAACAGGTCATTTAACAGGTGATTGTTTCGGGTCAGCTAAAAACTAACAGGTGAGTGTAACAGGTCAGCTAACAACTAACAGGTCAGCTAACAACTAAAAGGTGAGTGTAACAGGTCAGCTAACAACTAACAGATCAGCTAACAACTAACAGGTGAGTGTAACAGGTCTGTTTATTAGGAACAGGCTGGCTGCTCTTAATACAGGTAAACTCAATTTTTAAATGTGATGACAATATAAGTAATGAAACACCTTTGACAGCATTGGCTGACCTCTAACCTTACTGCAGTGATGTATAAAGAGTAGAGCTGAGTGTGTTGGTACACTGTGACATCACTGCTGGGTCTGACCACACCCATCAGTGATGCTGGGTGGTGAAATATTGAACCAAAAACACCAGTTAAACACTCGTGTTCAAACTGGACCTCCTCCTCCTACCTTCTCAGCCTGGGCCGCCAGAGACTTTGAACTAGTGCAGAGAGTTTTCATCTCCTCCTCCAACATTCGACTCTTGCTGCAGGTCAAAGGTCAAATCAGACGATAGATTGTGTCAAACAGATGAGCTGTGTTATTTGATGTCTGGGACTGTTTGAGAGAGCTGGTTTAGTGTTAACTACAGGTTAACTTAAACTCAGTTACTATGGTTACTTAAACGCTTCTAAGGCCAACTTTAATGTACTTTGGTGTCTAGACAGGTGTTGTGTGTAGATAGTTTGTTGTTGGACAGGTGTTGTGTGTAGATTGTCGAGGGACAGGTGTTGTGTGTAGTTTGTCGAGGGACAGGTGTTGTGTGTAGACTGTTGTTGGACAGGTGTTGTGTGTAGTTTGTCGAGGGACAGGTGTTGTGTGTAGATTGTCGAGGGACAGGTGTTGTGTGTAGTTTGTCGAGGGACAGGTGTTGTGTGTAGTTTGTCGAGGGACAGGTGTTGTGTGTAGATCGTCGAGGGACAGGTGTTGTGTGTAGATCGTCGAGGGACAGGTGTTGTGTGTAGTTTGTCGAGGGACAGGTGTTGTGTGTAGTTTGTCGAGGGACAGGTGTTGTGTGTAGTTTGTCGAGGGACAGGTGTGTGTAGATTGTCGTTGGACAGGTGTTGTGTGTAGTTTGTCGTTGGACAGGTGTTGTGTGTAGTTTGTCGTTGGACAGGTGTGGTGTGTAGTTTGTTGTGGGACAGGTGTGGTGTGTAGTTTGTTTTTGGACAGGTGTGGTGCGTAGTTTGTTGTGGGACAGGTGTGGTGTGTAGTTTGTTTTTGGACAGGTGTGGTGCGTAGTTTGTTGTGGGACAGGTGTGGTGCGTAGTTTGTTTTTGAACAGGTGTGGTGTGTAGTTTGTTTTTGAACAGGTGTGGTGTGTAGTTTGGTGCCTGTGGCAGGTTAAAGTCATGCAGCGAGCAGCAGCAGGAGGAGGAGCTGAAGCAGCAGCTTAAGGTCAGAGGTCATAGGATGCGGCAGGAGGTCAGGAGAAGGAGCTTCTCCTGTTTAAAGGACAGCAGGTGAGTGGGGGGGGTCAGATGACCCTCAGTACCTGGTCCTCAGATGCCTGCAGACTCTTCAATGATTGGTCGTGAACCCTCAACTGCTCCTCCAACCTCCGAACCTTACTATTAGACATACAGATGGCCAGACAGACAGAAAGACAGGCAGCAGGACATGCAGCAGCAGCATCAACATGTTTCCATGGAAACAGACAGGAAGAGAGAGATGGATGGATGCAGTAAAATTAGAGCACTGTTACTGGAGCAGTATGACATCATTATGAGGTCATCAGTCGGATTATTGGTGATATCACATGCACATTCTGCTGAGGAACATCAGCTGTTACTACACCACTGACTCTGACCCTTATTACAAGTTATAAAAACTCATAACTAGGATATAATAACCGCTCACACTCACACCTGACTTTGTGGTGAAGATATTTATATAATATCAGACCTCTGTGGTAATAACGAACGTCAGACTGTGATTGGTCTCATCTACCTGTCTCTCTGTGTCTACCTGTCTGTCTGTTAGCAGTATCAGAGCAGCAGCAGCTTCATGCTGTAAGCAGCTGTTAGACATGCACCTGTGTATAAAATAATCATAATGACAATGCACTTTATTGTTTTTATTGTCTTATTTACACATATGTATCAGAATGATTGGTTGCCCCAGCGCAGCACCCTCAGCACAGACCTTTTTCACAGCAGACATTTCGACTTGTCATAGAAGGGAAAGCACAGATGAAACCAATAACATTAACAGTGACGCAGGTCCATTTAGTGTCCCAGTTAACTTTTCCAGTCAGCGAGCATGCACGATATCAGGGGCTCCACTAAGTGATACGCAGCCACCATTAGTGTTATTAAATACGCCTGTGCATTTCCTACTATGATGTGTCAAGATGTCCGTTGTGGAAAAGGTCTATTTGGGGGTTTGGTGCCTGACACTTCTCAAGCTACCAGTCCACACACAGTACCTGATCCTGCCAGCACTTGAAGCAGCAGCCCTCAGTTTCCCCAAGCAAGGTCCCTCAGGATTGAGCTACTGTTTTACAGTAAGTGTGTGTGTGTGTGTGTGTGTGTGTGTGTGTGTGTGTGTGTGTGTGTCTGTGTGTGATAGACCTTTCTCCCTGCTCGGCTCTGTCTTCAGCTCGGTCCAGGTCTCCTTCCACCATCACCAGTTTCCGAGCGATCTGTCAAACACACAACATGATGTCATAGATCTCTTTGACATGTGAGGTTTATACAGGTGATCTGTATTCATGTTCTCTTAAAGAGACAGTACACATCAAATCAGCGTCAGGGTTTGACTGTTGTCCCTTTGATATTCAATTAACATTTATAACAACAAACAGCATGTAAAATCAGAGACAAAGGAAGTCGGCACAACATGAAGCAGCTGGACAGAAGTTAAAAAAACTAAAAGAAGTAAAACGTCAAGAGTATGACATGTTTGTATTCGCTACAACATCTCTCTGAAGCCCCTTTACGCTGCCTGTTCTGCTGTATATATAAATTAATGGCTGCAAAGTGGTGAGACAGCGTTGTCTTGCATTGAAGCCGGCAGCGCGGCACTTTGTCCTCGTTATATAAGTCTTGTACATGAAACATCTGTGATGTCGCTGCGTTTTTTTAACACATCTGTAGCCTGCATCCAGGCGCTGTCCCAGTGTCACGCAATAGACTACAGGTACCAAGAAGAGCAGCAGCGCACTATGATCCACCTCACACACAAACAAGCAAACAATCATGTAGTTCTGTCTCTCACACATGCAGCACAGTGCTGTACTGCACATATGCTACTGCACTAATTTCATAGACTAATTAACAGACAGATTTAACAGACAGAGGAGCAGCTCTGTGTCTCTAGTATAATATATAACATTACAGGTGTTGTAAATGTACCTCTTCATATTTGCGGTCGGCCTCCTCAGCAATCTCTTTGGCTTCTCTCAGTTGACTCTCCAGCTGCTCTATCTTCTCTTCATCCTTCAGAGCTCTGTTCTCTTTCACCTTCATACCTCTGACAAGGAGACAGGCAGGGAGGAAGAGATTCATCAGTCTGTCTGGCCTCGCTTGAGAAATAAAGTCTGAAACCTGTAGGTGAGTTTGAGATGTGTCTCAGGTGTGTCAGACCTCTCGCTCTCATCTGCAACCTTTTCCACCTCATCCAGTTTAAACAGGGTTTTGGTCAGTCTCTCCTGAACTTGATCCAGGTTATCTTCAACAACCTGCAGACGCCGACTGAGGGACGTCACCTCCGCTTCCGCCTACAAGACACACAGCAGGGAGAAGACAACTCATAGTCGGGTTCACCTCTCTACTGCAGTACACTGTAGTACAGCTTGCATACCACTTCTACTACAGAGTACCACAGAGCAGGCAGTCTCGTCACCTGCAACATACCTCACATTCCTCTTTCAACACATACAAGTGTTCAAAGCATCTGATACAACCTGACAGACCCCAGGTGTGTGTGTGTACCTCCTCTCTGCCCTTCTTCTCCTTCTCCACCTCCTTCTGCAGTCTTTCAGCTCGATCCTCTGCCTCCTCCGCCTGCTCCTGCAGCACTTTGATCTTCTTCTTCACCGCATCGATGCTGTTCAATCCCCCGCTCGTCATCTTCTTCTTCTACTGCAGGAGGAGCGTTAGCCATCAGTATTTACATGCAGTGAATGTGTCTAACAGATCTACATGTTCCTCCTTCACCATGAACACATACTGTACAGTATGAGGATAAGAAAGCGGCTTTTGAACATTACAATAGAAAAGATGTTCTGGCAGACACCTAGCTTGGAAACTACAGTTTGGTTGCTTTCCAGTTGTGCTGGTCCGGTCCGGTGTACGAGCTTAAACCAGTTTGATTTAATGCAAACCAGCTGAACCAGCATTTTTCATTACAACACATTCAGGCAAATTAAAAAGTAGCTTATATCAGCAACCCAGTTTTCCAGTAGAGGTGGGAGAGCGGCGCAAGCTGTTTGTTTACTTAAAGGTTCATGTGTGTTTTGAGGTGACGAGAGAGACATAGAAGAGTTAAACCCTGATCACAGAGAAAGCATTTTCTAATTGTAATTGATTTTAATGAGAATGAAGTCGTTTGCTCCCTGTTTTTGCGTTGCGACGCACCTCATGTTTCTGCACTCTATGCACCTGCCGTTTTTGCCAGAGCGCTCTGAAACCCGTTGTCCAATTGGATGATTTGAGAGGCGGGCCTTCTGTGGTGGTCACGAAAACAAGTTTACAGTTGGTAAACAATGGAGGAGAAACTGGTGGTAGTGGTTGCTGGATACCCAGAGCTATACAGCCCGATGATAGACAGCAGGTTGTCAAACTGCCCCTGAGTCATCCTAAAATACATCTGGAAACGTCCATCATGGAGGAGAAGCTCCAGGACCAACTGGTGGTACTCCCCGTGATCCAGCCTCTTTTTTAGGGTCTCATGTACCCACACGGCTCTCTGTTTATCTGCTGACAGCCTCTCACCCTCAACCAGAGCTACAGACAGTACCCTCTGCCTCAACATTTTAGGAATGAGATACTTATTATTGTGAGAAAAAACAGCAAGCTGGTGGCATTCAATTTTATTCTATTTTTTTTATGAACACATTACTTCTAATAATAATTCTGCATTTCAACTCCACTGTGGCACTTTCAAAGCAAGCAAAAGGAATAAATAGAAACAGCATCTGACAAAAGTTCAGCTAAAAACAGCACATATGTTGCTGTGCTAGTTTTCTTAAGATACTGTCATGTCTCCTCTTGTCAACCCAAACATCACATGAACTTTCTAGTAAACAAACGCAGCGTGTGCAGCTCTGCCCCTCCCACCTCTACTGAAATTTAATCTCCTTCATGTTGCCATGCTCAGGTCACCCACCACCTGTCAGACACTGAGGCTCTGTTAATCTGTTTATAAACATAACATAATGTTCATCAAGTTGTCATATTGCTTATTACTAACACAATGCAACTTGAATGACGTCATCAGCACAGGTTGCTGATGGAGGCGACTTTTAAATTTGCCATACATTCCATAATGACCAATTCCTGTTCAGCCTGTTTATATAAAATCAAACCGGTATTAGCTTGTGCACCAGCCCGAACCAGCATAACAGGAAATCAAGCCAACTCTACTGAGTATTGTGGTAACATATATTGCAATTTATTACCTTTTTTCAACTGCAAATTATGTCAGCATCTGATATTTATCTAATAAAATAAAGTTTCCAGAAAATAAAGAGCACATTGTAATTCTGTAAAATGTCTATTTATGACCAAAGTATTTATCAGGCCGACATTAAAATGGCTAAAATATAAATGTGTTGCACTGCATGTTGGTTTAAGTGGTGCTCCTAATATTTTCAGTGGGGAGCAGCACTGCTACAAGTGGAGCAGTTAGTCTGGAGCCCTGAATTAGGTCACTGATTTTATTGTTGCATGAACTTATTGTTTGTATTTAAACCACACCTGAGAACAAGATAAAGCTTTTACAGTTTAAATATGGACAGACTTTAGTTTCACATTCACAAAACTGATTATAAAGACTAAACAAGAGATTTTAGTTTCAGTTTGACTCTGCTGTATTTAGTATTTAAACAAATTAAAACCAGCAACTGATTAAAATGTTATTTTATAAACACAACTGCACCTTTAACTGCATATCTAATTATCTTGAAAAACCTATATCCTGTCTAGGGCTGTAAAAAAGAATTTCCTAAATAATTTCTGAGGTTTTTTTTTAGGTAAATAAAAGAAAGTATATCAGAAGCTGAAATAAGTCAAATTTGGTCATTTTTGTTTGACAAATGTCTTGAACTATTAACTGACAAACTCAAATAGCTGCAGATTAATAGTGTAGTACTGTCAGTCTACTGCTGATTATTTGACTCACTGTTTCAGATAAGATCAAATCAGTTACATCACCAGCTGTCCCACTAAACCTGAAAAACCTGAAGGAGATGAGAATGGTCTTGTTGGGTGTCAGTCAACAACGCTGTTCACTGATTCTTAAAAATGTTTACATCAACATGTTCACAGGTGTTGGAACGTTTATACTGTCACAGAATAATTGCTTGTGTCTGAACTAAAGTGACTGAACTAAATAGAATAATTGAAACAAAGTTTATTATAGTAACACTATCTCCTGTGTGTTAATAAAACAGCTGTCATATACAGTATTTACAGCACCTGTATGTTGTATATGTCTGTTCTATGTTGATCTGTCTGGTAACACACTGAATATAATATATTTATTGTATATTATATTAAGCCACTGATGAATCAATGTCTGACACAAAGTTTCCAGTTGAGCACTGCAGTCCAACTCCAACAGGTTTCCAACAAACAAACAGTGAAATCCAGAACCATGAGTAGCTATTGCAGCAGCGTGGTGTGTGTGTGTGCGTGCGTATAAGTATGTGTGTATGTGTGTGGGTGGTTGGTCAAAAAATGTTGACCTTCTGGGTGGAACCCCTAACATGACAAAGATTAATTCCTATTTAATTACAAATCCGAGCGCTTACGTGCACCTACAATCTTATATTTATTGCATATTATCATTATTATACATTAAAATAATATTATGCATATTGCACATTCTAATGTATATTTAATATTATATTGTACATTTGTTGTATGTCACGTCACAGTTACTTAAAATACCATTATATATTTAAGGCATGTTGTATGATATATTTGCTGTATATTTTACATGTATAATTTGTCAGTGTGACGTGTTGTTGTTCTGTAATTAGCACGTTAGCTCCTAATGCTAACAGGGGACCACCGCCCTGTTAGCCTGTTAGCATGCTAGCGCCCAGTGTTCGGAGAGCCGACAGAAAGCAGGTGATGTGTACCTGAGCGATTCCTCTCACCTGTCTGAGTCCTCTGGAGAAAAGACACCTGCTGCTGGAGTCCGACTTCACCTGACACCGTCACTTCCCTGTTAGCAGGCAGGTGAACTAGCCGTTAGCGGGCTAACTGGGCGAGTTACCGAAGAAAGTTTCACAAACAGCGGACACACTGCGGCTCGTTGTCGGTCTGAACTGGGTTTGTGGCTCAGAGTTAGGTGGTCCTGCTGTCAGGTTCACGTCCCGCTGGTTCTGGTCCTGAATCTGGTTCTGGTTTCAGCCGCTTCCTCATCCAGCCAACTCCCGACTGAGGAGAACTCCACCTTCTTCCGGGTTAAATTCCCTCCACAGGAAGTGACGCGACAACGAGGATCTTTTCAAATTTAAAGTGATTTAAAACATAACTAACAGGAATAAATCTCTTTTTTCCCCCAAGTGGTTGTTAAGAAATATCTTTAACGTTTTGTCATATTTTGACAAACACGACTGTATATTATCCTTTGAGCTTTTATAACCATATTCACTTGAGTGCAGCACAAAGACATGATATTTAATGTTCAAACTAGTATCCTTTATTGCTTTTTGTAAATATACACTCATTCTGAATTTGATGCCTGCAATATGTCCCAAAAAGTTTGGACAGGGGCAACAAAAGATTGGGAAATTTGTGTACTGCTCAAAAAACACTTGTTTGAAACGCCCCACAGTTAAACAGGTTAACTGGTAACAGGACTGTATCATGACTGGGTATGAAAGGGCATCCTCGAGAGCCTCAGTCATTCACAAGCAAGGATGGCGCAAGGTTCACCACATTGTGAAAAACTGTGTGGGGCAAACAGTCTAACAGTTTAATAGCATTTCTCAAAGCAGTTGCAAAGAATTTAGAATTTCACCATCTACAATCGTAATATAAAAAAGATTCAGTGTTATGGGGCAAAGCTAAAAACCAGTATTAATTGCCCATGACCTTTGACCCCTCAGATGGCAGGGCGTTAAAACCAACATGACTGCATAAAGGATATTTCTACATGGGCTCAGGAGCACTCTGGAAAACCACTGTCTGTGAACACATCGCTGCATCTACAAATGACAGTTCAGACTCTACCATGCAAAGTGAACGCCAGATATCAACAACATCTAGAAACAGCGCCCACTTCTCTGAGCAGAGCTCATCAGACCAGTTGCTGTGGTCTGACCAGTCCACCAGGCTAAAGAGGAAAAGGACCATCCAGATTGTTACCAGCTCAAAGTTCAAAGCCAATGTCTGTGATGGTATGGAGGTATGTTAGCGCCCATGGCATCATGTGTAACTTCACATCTGTGAAGGCACCATTAACGCTAAAAGGTACATACAGGTTTTGGAGCAACATATACTGCCATCAAGACAACGTCTTTTTCAGGGACGTCCCTGCTTATTCCAGCAAGACACTGAGACACATTGTGCACATGCTCCGTCAGCGTGGCTTCGTAGTGACAGAGTGCAGGTACCAGACTGACCTGTCTGCAGCCCAGACCTGACTGTTGTACATGTATGGTGCATAATGAAGCGCAAAACACTGCAACAGAGTCCCCGGGCTGTTGAGACACTGAAGCCATATATGAAGCATAAATGGGAAAAATTTTGACTTTCAAAACTTCAACAGTCCGTGTCCTCAGTTCCCGTACACTTACTAAGTGTTGTTGAAAGAAAAGGTGATGTCACACAGTGGGAAACATGACACTGTCCCGACTTTGCAGGCAGCAAATTCAGAATTAGTGCATATTAAAAAAAAAACAATGAAGTTTAACAGTTTGAACATTAAATATCTTGTCTTTGTGCTGTATTCAAATGGATTTAGGTCAAAAAAGGATTTATATATCACTGCATTTTGCTTTGATCTATAGTTTAGACAGCGCATGTGTCAGAGCTCTCAGTTTTTGGCATGAAGTATCTTTATATGTCTACTAAAAACAGCAGTGTTTCCAAGGTCTCCAGCTATATCACAGAATGCGTCAAACACAAGAACTTCAGTGTTACTACCTGCCCCGCTGCCAGGGTAACAACAAGAGTGAAGAATTAAAAATTACACAATGATGAAATACACACAATATATTAATACTAATACAGATATTGATACTTTTTTGGAATTGGGGTTTTAGATGCTGAGACAAAAAGTGTTACAACCACACCCGGTCTCCCCTATTCTATGGTTTAAATCTCCAGAAATAAAAACACCACCATCGACTTTTTATCCAGCTGATTAGATTTATAATGAGCACACATACAAACAATAAACTTACAGCAAAAATCATTTACAGTTTTCTGATCAAATCTTTATACAGACACTAACTTCAGTTCGACGTTTCTACTATTTAAAAACTACATTAAAATAAGAAGCTTCTGCGGCTGACTCCAGATCAGTTTAGTTTAAGGAAAGTCTTCAAACTGCTGTCGGACGTCTCACAGTCACAACCTGAACGTGAGACGTGGATCCAGCAGTCGTCGTTCACGCTGACATCAGCGTCATCTTTGATATAAATTCACAAACTAAACTCAGACAGTGGAAACAGAGCAGCGGCCATCATGACGGTGCTCCTTCATCCGTTATGTTTTAAAGTCATTATAAAATATTTTAGGAATTTGCAGCAGATGTTGAAAGTTTGCATCAAGAAACTTTCACACATTATTTCTGGTGAGACATAGGCCCTGTTGTATGCAGATATTTTTCAAAACAGATATTTATCCCCTCTGTTAACCCTTTAAAACCTGAGGGAAGTGACTTGATTTGTTTTAAAAACATAGGAACTTGTCCCACAAATTGGAAAAAAATAGGTTTAGAAAATTATTTAAAAAAAAAAAAAAGTTATTATTTTTACATTTTAAAATTATGTTACAGAATTCTTAAAATTTCTAAGCACTCTTTCCAGGTAATTTCCTTGTTTGTTTGTTTTTAACTTTCTTTTTCTTCCTTTTTTCTAAACCGATTTTCTTGTTTTTAACTTTCTCTTTTTACTAATTTCTTGCTCATTTTTTGGGTCATTTCTTCTTTCACCTTTTGCTCAAGGCTCAGCATTTAAATACTTGCGAAAGGTGTCTGAAAGCAGCCCAAGAAAAGCGATGTCGCTCCAGGGATCAAAAGGTTAAAAGAAAAAAATGTCCACCTTCATTTTACAAAATGTCTCTGTCCACACAAGAATGTAAAATCGACTCCAAACACTCGCCAGGCCAGTCGGTCAAATACCAGAGAAGAAGATTCTGAGCATTTGCAGTAAGCTTATTTTGGACAAGTCAAACAATAGTAAACCAATAGAAATAAATTACTTATCTATTTATCCAAATCTGATTCCTATTTTTATAAAAATCTTTCTGGTTCATGGCCCAAAGTGATACTGAAATGTGACTCACGTGGACTAACAACAGGGTAAAAGTACACAGGCCGGTTGTGTGCCATTGTTGTGTCCTGATACACAGTAACTGGAGTTTAGAAAAATCAGCACCTTAGAAGGTCAAAAAAATCTAATTTTTAGTGACCTGAAACTCTGTTTGTGGACGAGAGCCCAAAACGCAGAGGAAAATATCTGTTTTGAAAAACATGGAGACAGAGGCCGGAGCCACCAACATCACATCTGTACGAAACACTGCTGCTGTTCTTCATCAGTAAATACTGTCAATAAAGTGTTTTGGTTAATATAAAACATGTTCTCAATAAAATAAAAAAAAAACATTGGTCAAAACCAATCAATAAGACAATATACGATCAAGTTTATACAAGTAGGCTATAAAGGAAACAGCCACGCTAACATGCTAACATGCTATCAGACATATTAGGAGCGCTGCAGCAGTGATCTCATGTTTCAGTCAGACAGCAAACAGTTTCCTGTTTCTTCATCCCCCACCCCCATCCCCCCCGCCCCCCCCAATTGAGTCAGATCTCTGTGAGACTCACCAGGTCCCACAACACCAATTTTCATAGTGGCCAAACAGTGTAATTGCAACTGAAATGTAGGACCATTGGGTTCAAAATTAACTTTCCCTAAACTTACATTGTGAAAGAGACGTCTGTAAATCAGTGGTTACATTTCTATAAGCATAACAACCCCCATGAAATTACTTCTTTCACTATCAGGATTTGATCCATTCAGTCAGATAACATTTCAAAAGTCTGAAAGAGCCGCACCATTAAATCATTTTATCCCTTATTTAAATGAGCCAAGGGCTAAACCTAAAGTTAGCTGCTCAACCGGTGGAGGTCTGTAGTGCACTTGCTCTGTGGACCCAGTGACACAGAAGATCCGGGTAATTTCATACCTGGGAAGTCAAACGTTTTCGGCTTCATGCGCCACTGAGCAATTTTCATAGGAATGCAGAGGGCCTTGCCTCAAACGCTGTCTCCAGTTCTCTTTATGCATCCATGAAAATCATTACCGCCATCAATCAATCACTTTGAATGTTATCAGCCCATTAACTGACAGTTATCATTTGTCATCAGGAGCATAGATCTGAGGTGGTATGGCTCTACTCTACCTCCTATATTTACATGTACTGTTTGGCAGCACTGGAGGAGTCACATATGTAACGTACTTTAACACACGCGTAGGCAAGCGATTAAAAAAAATAATCTAATTAACCACATACTCTGTGTTTGTTTAATCTAAATTAACCGCATGCATCAATATTTGCTGTGAAAGTATTTAAACATTTAAATTCAAATGAATTTTGGCAGATGTGTCGAAGTAAAGCTGCTGGATTTTGGACATAATTGTCCCCCTGTCCTCTATCACCCAAACTGCTCGACAGTCCATTTTGCAGGGAGTGAGTTAGTCGGTCACAGGTAGACTTACTCAGTTTGAACGCCTGGTCGAGTGTGGCTTAACGAGGCTGGCTGCGAGCACTAGCATCAGAGGACGTCAAGGTTTGCTACAAAATGCTGCCTTGAGGTGATATTTCAGGCTTGAAGTTCTCGAATATTCCGTACTGCAGACACAGCAGAGAACAGTGCTCCTATCAACAGCTCCATCTGGGCGTTTTTTAAATGTAAATGTTCCGTTCACAGGGCAAAGCAGCGTCGCCTCGTCATCATGTGACAAAGCCACTGTGGCCTTCAACAATACACAGGGTCAAAGTGCACCACAGAACACGATCAGTGTTAATGTTTTTAACACATTTTTTTTCTGTGATTAATTTAGAGAAATTAACATGATATTTTGTCAGTCCTAGAAAACATGCATATGTAACTTGAGTTACGTAACGTACTATCGTTTTTATAGGCTATAATCATTTTGATTTTTTCAGAGAGACACCGTACAGTGTATAAAACGTACTTATTTTAACCCAAACCATGATTATTTTCAAAACCTA